GCTAAGTACGATTCTGTACGTCGCAGCTCTTGTTTCACTTTTTACAGGTATTAGTTCACTCTTTTCGTTCTTTATTGCTTTATTGTAGTTCTTACTGGGACCGAGCGCAGCAACTGCTGTCTATGAGGCCCGCCCACGCCAAAAACTAGAAGACAATTGGCCCGAAAGCATCATCAGCGAAGATTGTGGGGCTATGTGATAGATCCAGTGTATAGGATCGTAAAGTCACAGAGTCAAGAGTCATAGAGTCCATGAGTCATGAGTCATAAAGTCATAGAGTTGCAGTGAGATAGCGTCATAGAGTCGTAGTGAGATAGAGTCACTGTATAGGATCGTAAAGTCACAGAGTCAAGATTCGACCAAGTCAATCCCTGTGAAGGGTTCCGCGGGCACCGCAAAATGTGTAACTTCACCTCGCGTTCGAACACTCGACAACGCCAATCTGTGTGAAGGGTTGCAAAATTCATCTCAATGCTCATCCAAAAATTGCAACCTTTACCTCGCGTTCGAACACTCGACCACGCAATCCCTGTGAGGGGTTGCAAAATTCATTTCAATGCTCATCAAAAATTGCAACTTTACCTCGCGTTCGAACACTCCACCACGCCAATCCTTGTGAAGGGTTGCAAAATTCATTTCAATGCAAATCAAAAATTGCAACTTTACCTCGCGTTCGAACACCCACCACGCCAATCCTTGTGAAGGGTTGCAAAATTCATTTCAATGCAAATCAAAAAATGCAACTTTACCTCGCGTTCGAACACCCGACCACGCCAATCCCTGTGAAGGGTTGCAAAATGCAAATCCCTGTGAAGGGTTGCAAAAAAAATTGAACTGCACCCAAACCCTGTGAAGGGTTGCGCGGCGCCCGCAAGAAGTGTAACTTTACCTCGCGTTTGAACGCCCGAGGAGGCGAATCCCTGTGAAGGGTTGCGCGGCGCCCGCAAGAAGTGTAACTTTACCTAGCGTTTGAACGCCCGAGGAGGCGAATCCCTGTGAAGGGTTGCGCGGGCACCGCAAAATGTGTAACTTTACCTCGCGTTTGAACGCCCGAGAGTTCCAATCTTTGGGAAGGGTTGCGCGGTGCGCTTAAAATGTGTCACTTTACCTAGCGTTTGAACGCCCGAGGCAGCGAATCCCTGGGAAGGGTTGCGCCGGGCGCCTAAAATGTGTCACTTTACCTAGCGTTTGAACGCCCGAGGCAGCGAATCCCTGGGAAGGGTTGCGCCGGGCGCCTAAAATGTGTAACTTTACCTCGCGTTTGAACGCCCGAGGAGGCGAATCCCTGTGAAGGGTTGCGCGGGAACCCTAAAATGTGTAACTTTACCTCGCGTTTGAACGCGAATCCCTGGGAAGGGTTGCATTCCCGATGGACGACAACGGTGCCACCCCTGGCTTTAGAAGAGAGAATTAGATACCGAGATGTCCATAGAGTCACATAATAGAGATAGCATACCATAGAGTCCAGTGTCAAGTAAGTTAAGAGATGTAGAGAGTAAGTCAGTCAGAGGCAGAGAGTCAAGCAAGTAAGTAAGTAAGTAAGTCATAATAGAGATAGCATACCATAGAGTCCAGTGTCAAGTGTCAAGTAAGTAAGTAAGTAGAGTGAAGTAAGTAAGTAAGTAATCAAGTAAGTAAGTAAGTAGAGTGAAGTAAGTAAGTAAGTAAGTCGTAAGCAAGTATAGAGATAGCATAACACAGAGTCAAGTATCAAGTGTAGAGTCAAGTATCATAGAGTCAAGTGTCAAGTGTAGAGAGTCAGTCATAGGGGTCAAGTAAGTAAGTAAGTATCAAGTGTAGAGTCAAGTATCAAGTGTAGAGTGTAGAGTAAAGTATGGAGTCAAGTAAGTTGATTCTATGTCTGTCATCTATGTACTCAGCTGCGGCGTTCCACACGGAAGAACCCTTCGCGATGCTTTCGGGAAAAGTAAGTAAGTAAGTAAGTAAGTATAGAGATAGCATAATAGAGATAGCATACCATAGAGTCCAGTGTCAAGTGTCAAGTAAGTAAGTAAGTAGAGTGAAGTAAGTAAGTAAGTAATCAAGTAAGTAAGTAAGTAGAGTGAAGTAAGTAAGTAAGTAAGTCGTAAGCAAGTATAGAGATAGCATAACACAGAGTCAAGTATCAAGTGTAGAGTCAAGTATCATAGAGTCAAGTGTCAAGTGTAGAGAGTCAGTCATAGGGGTCAAGTAAGTAAGTATCAAGTGTAGAGTCAAGTATCAAGTGTAGAGTAAAGTATGGAGTCAAGTAAGTTGATTCTATGTCTGTCATCTATGTACTCAGCTGCGGCGTTCCACACGGAAGAACCCTTCGCGATGCTTTCGGGAAAAAGTTTCACTTTGTACAGGTATTAGTTCACTTTTTTCATTCATTTTTGCTTTATGGTAGTTCTTACTGGGACCGAGCTCAGCAACTGCTGTCTACGAGGCCCGCCCACGCCAAAAATAAAAGTTTCACAAGCAGATCCTGCAGTCGAACCTGCCAGCCACTGCACATCGCAGTGAATCTGTGTTTGCATCAAGTCTACATGTTCAAGCAAAGCTGCTTGCAACGCTCGAGAAATGGTATGTTGAACCTTGCACTGTTCTTCCGATTTTGTTTGTCTTCCCGCCTGTCAGACTCCTCTGCTCTGTTCCTCTTGCGCATCAACACAGTGTGGCAACACCGGCATTGCCGCTCCTATCTGCTTGGCTGCTCTGCTGCTCTTGCTTTTCACGGACTGCTGGCTTCTGGCAATACCGCCTGCTCGATTGCACCGAACGATTGCTGCCGCATTTTGTGGTTGCTTCCGTGAACAAGCCTTGTGCAATGATGGGGGCTATTCACACGGCCTTTGCGCTCTCCATGCTGACGGAGAGCAGGCCCAGCTATGGACTTACCAGATGTGGCCATTGCGCTCTCCATGGTTTTACGGAGGGCAGCACCATCTGAGAAAAACCAATTTATGAGGTTTGATACAATCTGCAAGACAACCCGGAAACCGTAGCTGAACGACACCAACTTGAACCACGCTCCAAGTTGCTCTCAGCCACAGGGCCCAATAAGACAGAAGAAGGCGCTGGCGGGGTCAGTTTGGCAAAAAGTGCAAATCACCTGTTTTGAGTTGCACTTTTGCTCATTGTTTTGCGCGTCAAACTAAAGTACTTTGAAGGATTGTTGAAGTGGGGTCTGCGCTCCAATTTTGCCAATGGCAAGGCATCTAATGCACGTGAAATACGCACGAATGTGGTTAGTTTTTCGGCTGAAAGGTCAGGTGCATTGCAGTGCTCAATGTACAAATGGCATCTAGCACAGGACACAACAAGTTTATTGCAGCTTTCATGGCTGTCACTTGCCACGAGTGACCAAGTTGCAGGTTCGGCTCAGTCAAAAGCTCCTGTGAAGACATTGTTGTTTGTTCGAGCCAACAGCTGCAGGTTGTAACGACGGGATGCGTGCGGCTTGACTTGCCCTGCCAAAAAAGAAGTGTCAGGTCGGTCCGTGCGGTTGTTGTAGTTGTTTTGAATGAACAGCTCATGCCCGACAAACTTGACAATACAGACAGCCCTGCTGTGGCGTGCAACGTGCCGGTCATGAAAGTCCAGTCGGTGCCGGACCGGGTCTGTCTGCTTTGTCAGGGGGTTCCGGGGATCCTGGCAGAACGGGTGTCAGGCGTCAGGTTTGTCAGGTCTGTCGTTTTCCCCATGCGCGGACTGCACTGACTACACGGTTCCTGTGTTTACTCAGGGTTGTTTCGGAAGTTCTTACCCCGCTGCCCCGCTTGGGTTCAAGCATACACCACGCAACAGCAGCTTGCTTTCTAAAACTTTAGCTCAGCTTTCAGCTTTGCATGTGCTTTATGCTTAGGTCTTGAGCTTTCAGGACTACTTCTCAGCAGCTTTAAGACAACACGCTGTAGCCTCCAGCTTTGCATGGACCTTGAGCCTGCGCCGCATAGCTCCCAGCTACAAGCTGTTTTGCGTGAACTCGACAGGGACGTCCGGCAGTTTGATCTTCGCTTGCTTGAAGCCTGCCTTACCGACGACGTCAGGAGTCTCTGTGATAGGGTTTACGACTTGGAAGCTGAAAGTGCGGCTCAACGAGCGGAAATTTCCCGCTTACACGGCAGGGTCCAACGCTTGGAGGACCAGCTTCACCAAGGTCGCGGCTGGCTTCTCCACTTGTCTGACAGGACTACAGCTTTGGAGGAGGCCACTCAGAAACTGGCTATTAAGGTCAGGTCACTCGTGACCCTGCTTCGCGAAACGCTGTCAGAGACGGTGGCGCGCCTCAGGATCTGGTTTTAGCCATGGCCTCTTCTGCACAGTCTGGTGGTGATGCGCCAGCTTTGCCTTCTAGCAGGGTGGCTACGGATATTCTCCTGGCTGATTCTTCACCTTTCTGCTCTGCCGAAGAAGCTTTGGAGCTTAGGGATTCTTTTCGCAACCACTTTGCTGATTTTGCAGATCCAACAGACCCTAATCCACAGCCTCCAGCTCCAGCACCCACGTTTGAGGTTGCTGACTCAGATGCAGAGGAAGCCTTTGAACCCAGGAGTAAGCTTCGACGCCGCTGGCTTCACCAAGCACATTGTGCCCCGGTGACTCCTCCCCTACCTATGGAAAACAGCCCAGGTGCATCCAGCGGTGATCAATCCTGGCAGCTTATAGAGTAGAACCAGCCGGTGCCCGAGAATGCATCCTTTCATGGGTGGCCTTCAGAAACTTCGACATTTCTGCTTATGCCATTGCAATCCACCCCTCCTAGACCCAGCTTGCCTGCTACTCCGAAGGCACCCACTTGGCGGGCTCCCAGGGTGTGCTTGCGATACAATTCCCCTTTCCAGGTGGGGCACAACGGGCGCCAGCCTACAGTTGCTCGGCTCCGCCCCTGCGCTCCCTTCCCCACTCCGCGGCAAGCCCCTAAAGCCGTGCCTGTGCAGCAGTCTACATCCCAGATCTTCCCGACGGCGAAGGCACTGCCGCACTTTCAGGACGCTTCGGCTTACGCGGTCTACCCCATGCAGCAGCCTTCTCCTGTTCAGGTATCGCTTTCCCTGGCAACGCCGAGACCAGTTCAGCCCTCAACAACAGCTTTGCGAGCACCTTCAGAGCTACACCCGCCTGCCTTTCGTGAGCCGATCGCCGGCTTGGTCACCAGCAAGGATAATCATCAGGCGTGCGATGAACGCAACAAGGTACTCTTCGACCAGCTTTGTGCATCGCATGGTGCCTACAGCGAGGTGCTGCAACAGCTTTCAGGGAGTCGCGAGGGCACAGTGATCAAGTCTCGGCTTCTCAGCAAGGTGAGTGACACCACGGCGGCCCGCTACCTTCGCTCAGTCCAGCTTTTCTTTTGTGCCTTTGAGGAGCTGGGTGGCAACATGGAGTCCATCGACCAAGGTCTCTTCCTTGATGCTTTCTTCGCTTTATCTCGAGGCTCCGAAACAGGCCCCCTTTCCAACAGCATCAATGTGCTCAAGGCGCTGCGCTGGTACAAGAAGCTTCTTTCACTTGCATGCCTCCCAGACCTGTACGGCACAGCTTTCAGTCTCCTCTCCAATCCGTCTGGCCAGGAGAAACGAGAGAGCATACCACTGCCGCTTTCTTTTGTGGCCTTCCTTGAGCGCACCCTGCTTTCAGGCACAGCCAGCTTGATGGACACCATCTGGGCGGGGTCGTTCTTGGTGGCAATCGGTGCGAGCCTCCGCTTCGCGGACGCCCAGCACGTCCGCTGGAGCTCACTTTGTGTGAGCCATTTCACTTTACGGGGAATATGCTACAGAACTAAGACCACCAAAGGCGGATGCCCCTTTGGTCTTCTCAGCTTCGGCCCCTTTTCGTCCTCTGAGGAATGGGGGCTGACTTGGCTCCCCCGCTGGTTGGGAGCATTGGACAAGGTTTGGTCCGACCTCCGCTCCCGCTTTGGGGCCCAGCCGGAACCAGATTGCATGTTTTTCCTCTTAAGTGATGCAGGCTTTGCTCCGGCCACTTATTCACAGGCCCTTCAGAAGTTGCGCCACTGGCTGACGCTTTCAGGGATAGAGCAGCATCAAGCTTCTCAATATACGCTTCACAGTTTGAAGACGACCTTCCTTTCGTGGATGTCTCAGCTTTCTATCCCACTGGCGTCCCGCTTTCTCCAGGGACATCATAAAACCCCTGGCTCTGCCCAGCTTTACTCACGGGACGACGTATGGCCAGCCCTGAGAGCGCAGCTTCTTTTGTGGCGGTCGATCCACTCCGGCTTCCGTCCTGCCAGGCCGCAACACCGAGGTGGACAATCACCGCTTGCCGAGCCCCCCTTCGAGACGGCGGGGTTCCAATGGGACGCCTTCATCCCGGCACTTACATGTTTCTCGCTTGGCAGTGATTTCCAATCATTCCTCGCCCTGGAACAACAGGACGGCGAACTTCGCGAAGCCCGAGAGTCATGCTCAACGATTACACGGTCAGGCCCCAAACTTCCCTCTTGTGTTCGCGCCCGGGCGCAGGTCGACCACTTCGAGGACTCAGATGCCGATGATGCAGGCCCGGCTCGCCCTTCAGCGATGGTCGCATCCACTTTGGAGGTCGACCTCACATGGCAAGATGCAAAGAGCGAGGGGCTTAGTGTGTCACATGAGGAGCAGCCGCTTGAAGCTCCATCTTTTCAAACTTCCCGCACAAACTGCAGGGAGGTGCGGTATCTGCTAGGAGCATCCGGGGTGGCACACCTCAGCATTTCCCACCCCGGCTCCCGCATGACCTGCTTGGCGTGCAAGGATGCCCAATGCCAGGTTCGATGTCACCCCGCTTGTGGATGCATCTCAGAATTTTCCGCTTTTGTGCATTTTCCGCCTGAATCTCGCTTATGTAAGCGGCGGGCATGCATCATAGCATCTTTGGAGGTAGCTTGAGCGTCTCCCGAGAAATACAGCGATACATCTTGCACCTCTGGGTCATGACTTTGTGCTACAGCCTGTTTTTCGCGCTTGTGACATGTTATTCCATAAGCTCTTGCTCGAGATCAGCTTATGAAACATAATCCCGCTTTACTTCCAGCGTGGGTCATGGCCAAGTTGTCCCCCGACTACGTGTTCAGCCTCCTCAAAAGCATGAACGAGGCTGAGAGGGCCCACTTTTTGAAGCGAATGGAAGGAGACCCGCTTCTTCCTTTCTTCCTTCCACAACGCCGGCACCCGCTTTGGCAGCAGCACCTTCGGAGCAGCCTGCTTCGAGCACCGTGATCGACCCCATCGGGGACTCTATCGCTGCCGAAGATTACGGGATACCGGCCGCTTTTACGTCTTCTGCACCCACTTTGGAGGCACCAGCGGAGCCTAAAGCAGCCACCGGTGGCGAGAGTGCCCCCACGGGAGCCACTTCAGCTGCTCAGGGAGAAGAGGCCAACGCCGAGGCCACAGGTGACGGGGTCACGAACGCCAAACGCTGGCAACGTGAACCCGAGGTCAAGGAACCGCCGCCGCGACCTCCTTCGTCGCCCGCTTTGGCGTCGACCACCCCAAAGGCCGGGGTACCGCTGCTGAAGTCGAAGAGCATGGCTACGCCCGCTCCACCCGCTTCGGTGGCCACTACACCCCCCGGCGGCTACGCCCAGCGCCCCTCCCGCTTCCAAGGCCCCGCCACCGCCGCTTGTGGAGGAGGGCACCACGGGCGGAAGCTCGGGAAACACAGGGCAACAGCCGCCCGCTTCAACACCACAGCGCGAGATAGCCCCGCTTCTCGCTAGTGACGCCCCAGCCTCCCGCTTGGGACACACTATCTATGATAGCGAAGGCCGGGCCACTTTGCAGCTGGTTCAATTGTGGGCATGCCGCCGCCAGTGTTCCCAATGCGCTCAGGGACACTGTCAGGCGACATTCAGCGACAGATCCAACAGCTTCCACGTGAACCACTTATGCAGAGACTGCAAACGCGCTCGTGGGCGTGAGCGCCAGGAGGCCACTTCGCAGTGGAACCACGGCCAAGATGAGTGGGGCCAGAGCCAGACCGCTTGGGAGGACTCGCCCGCTTGGAGCTCCTGGAACTGGTCTGGACGGGCATGGCAGCATCAGTGAAATCCACGCTGCCCCCCACTTTTCAAGCTTCGGCACTGAATCGCCCACTTTTGGGTCGACCCAATTTGTACACGGGCGACCCCGCTGGGCTTGTGAGCCCGCTGGAGCTCGGCTTTCGTAAGCCAGTCATCTCGAGCACCGCTTCCCGCTTGGAAAATAGGTGGCAAGCTCTGACAATTGCATCGAAGTGTGCCTCCGCTTTTGATTCGCTCAGAAACATGACATCACTTGTCTCCCCCGCTTGGGTCAAGCACAGCTCTCTCCCGCTCGGGGGCCTCTCTCGCTGCCTCGCGACAGGCCACAGGTACACATTCGAAACCTCTAACTTTTGTTGTGTGCCTCGCAGGACGATCATCTCCAAGGCCCACGCCTGAGAGTTCTTCACATCCCGCTTTACATCAGCCATTCATCCCGCTCAGGTCTCTTCGACATGTCCGACTTCTCGCAGTTCGTGTCGGACTGCAACGTACCTCCTGCGGTGGCCTCTCTGCTTTCGGAGTTTGACACCGCTTTGTACGCACGTGCTTGCACAACTTCTTCCGAGCTAGAGGAATTGATCACCCACTTCATGACCGAAGCCGCGGTGACAGAAGCAGCGGAACGCTTTATCACTAAAGCGTCGTTACGCCTGCTTTTCTCCAAATGCCGGCAGGCGGAGGGCATGGCATCCCTAGAAGCCACGCCCAGTTCTGCTCTCCCGCTTGGAGAAGCGCCTTCAACAGCTGTGCCAACCGCTCCGGCCGCAGTCCCGCTTTCTAGCTCATGGCAGGAGGCTTGGCCGGCAAAACTCAGCGGCGAACGCACTGCAGCGCTTAGGAAAAGGTTCGAGGAGGATTACCCCACTGAACTCCTCGATGCCGAGAGCTTTCCGAGCGCACGCTTGTTGGCCCTTACCAATAAGATGCTTTCAGAAAAGGAAGTGCGATGGATTCCCTGGAAGTACCGCTTAAGTGCAAGGGCGCAAGAAGACAGCTTGCTTATCAGGCCCAAGAAACAGGCCCGCTTTGACATCGCGGAGTTCTTCTTCGACGAGGCTCCAACCCGGGATATACATGAAGGCCCCGCCTCCTTCAGCTTCGTGACACAGCTTCTCTCACTTGCTGCGAATGCGATCGCTTTATGCCAGGGGGCACACCTAGGCTCCCTGAAACTCTACAACAAAAAGTTCACCCGCATTTGCTTCACCAAATACGAGGCCTCCGCCAACCTACGGGGCCCCACTACGATGGAAGCCCAGGCAGCTGATCGCCGATGTTGGGAAATCATCGCCGACTTAGTCAATGTGCATCATTGGAAGCTAGATGATGCGCTTCACGAAGTGGCGGAGGTGCGCTCTGATTTGCACAGCTTACTTGCGCCCAGGCCATTCGTACCCAAACCCAAGCACGACCCGGACAACAGCTGGAAGGCCGGCGCCAAAGGCAACGGTCGTGGAGGCAAAGGCGGGGGCCGTGGCGGCAAAGGCCGCGATGGCAAAGGCGAGAAGGGAGATCGCTTCGAGCGAGGCGGCAAAGGTGGCAAAGGCAAGGACAACAAGCAGGCGACGCCTCCCGGAAAATGGCTTTCAACCATCTTCATGGATGGCAAGCGCCAGACTCTTTGCATGCGCTACCAGAGCGGTCAGTGCAAGGACCCAGCCACGTGCCGCTATGTGCACAGATGCGCAGTGCCCAAGAGTGACGGCGCCGCTTGCGGGGGTAATCACCCAGCTTCTCAGCATGTGGCTACCCCGCACTAGGAAACCCACTTCAGCGACCAGCGGGACATCGCTGAGGAGGTCACAGTTGTCCCGCTTTCAGTGCCTGCTCAACCTTCAGGTTCAGCAGGGGCAACCTCGGCACTGCCCAAGGCTGGTGCCCCAGTATCCATTGCATCTTTGGCAATCAGTGAAGGCTCCCTCGACTTCGCTACCTGCTTGGAGCTTTTAGCGCAGTACTTTTCCATTCCCTTCATTGATGCCGCAGGCCCCACTGACAATGCCATTGACGCTTCCGGAGCATATTTCAACCTGGGAGCTTTCTCCTTTGACAACGGCACTAGGTCGGGGATATTTCAGCGCACTGAACAATTTTCCGATGTACTTCGTTTCTTGAACGCTTTCATGCAGCTTCAGTTCCCGGGTGCCTCTTGGAGCTCCTTGTGCGTGAGTCACAACGTTCGTACTCGCTTACACACGGATGCTGGCAACGCTTCAGGAACACTCAATCACACAGTTTCACTCGGCAATTTCAGCGGAGGGGAGATCTGGATTAGCCCAGCTTTGGACCCTTCTGCTGCCAACATCCCGGCCCCATTGGAGGCCTCATCCGAGGCCCACAGAGCGGAAGATGCAAGCAAAGGTGAATTGCGCGACACCTGGCATTCACCGCTTTCCTTTAGCTGTGAATCCCTCCATTGTACGATGCCAATCCAAGGAGACAGGTGGGTATTGACTGCCTACACTTGCAGGAACCTGCACAGCTTCGACATGAAGTCGCTTGCACATTTAAGGTCACTGGGGTTCCCATTGCCTCCAGTACCTACAACACTTCCTCAGGCTGTACCCTCTGCACCGAAGGACAACACGCACGTCGAGATCTTCTTAGATATCTGCTGTGGTGCCTCTCACCCACTTACCACGGCGATCTCATCATGTGGCATCATATGTTTGCCCATTGATCTGCTTGGTGAGGAGCAGCTGGACCTCTTGCACGACGACACGTACGATCACCTCCTTCGGTTATGCTTCTCAGGCATTGTACGTTTTGCTCATGGCTCTCCGCCATGCAAAGAGTACTCCCGCTTGAAGCTACGCCCCGGGGGACCTGCTGCTATCCGATCCCCGGAACATCTCAACGGGTTGCCGGGCAATACAGCTTCACAGCAGGAACGCGTGGTAAGCAGCCAGAAGCTTCTGTATCGCTGTGTATGCCTGCTTCGGGCCGCTTTCAACTCAGGTGCACATGTATCTCTGGAACAGCCCACGAACGCGATGTCTTGGCTTGAACCATTCGTACAGGACATGCTTGCTGAGATACAGGCTTCACTGGTCAACATCCCGGCATGCTCAGTTGGCCAGGACATAGCCAAATCTTGGCTTTTAGCATGCAGCTTCGATGATATGCGAGCCTTGGCAGGTACATGCTCTCATTCGGAGGGTCATCCTTCTGTGGCCGGCGTCAGGGACGAGCTTGGCAACTTTCTGTCACAGCGCACCGCAGAGTACCCAGCCCAGTTAGCAAACCGCTTTGCTCAGCAGGCGGCTAAACTTTTCTCGTCACGCCGGCCCTCCCACAGTGTTCCAACTTGTTCTTTGGCTTTCGCACTCTCTTCGATCCCCAAGAAGCCCCGGGCAGCGACAACTACAGCATCACAGGATGGCGGTGGCATCTACTCCTTGCCGGACTGGTCAATGGGCCCCAGATACCAGTCTGACAGCTTGCACGATTTGCGCAAAGAATGGCAGTCCTGGCTCCTCTCGCACAGGATACCACTTCGCCTTCAGCAACATGTCGCAGCAGGCAGTAACAGCCCACTTTTCTCGGAAGAGGAAACATCGTGGCTGCGTGGATCCTTTAAACGCTTTTCGGACGCTCACTCCCCAGCTCAGGATTGGGATTTTTCTGTCAAGGAGGGTCAACCATACTGCCTATCGGCACTTGAGCGCTTGAGCACCCTCTTGGGGGACAAAGACACAACTTTATTTCCCGCTTTGCAGAAGGGGGTCCCCACGGGCTTTGATGGGGATATCCCTCGCAGCCACACCCTACGTCCCCGCAGTGCAGAGGAAACGGAAAGCTCCGCAGACCTGCTTATCTGCGAAGGCAACTGGCAAGGAGCCGAGGCGGATCCTGCCCTGCTTCAGGAGCTTATTGAAGAAGAGGTGTCCTCCGGCTACATTGAAGAAATGGCCAGTCTGGAGGCCGCTTACGAAAGGTGGGGCAAAGATCGTGTTGCAGTTGGTAAGGTGAACATCGTTAAAGCTCCAGGCCGCGCTCCCCGCTTGGTGATCGACAACAGCATTTGCAACACCAACCAGAACTGCGATGTACCAGAACAGTTCTCCCTACCTTGCCTCCAGGATATACAGGCCGCTTTCCCGCCGCGCGAGGATGAGGAGCCCGCTTCCGGTTTCAGCTTAGATGTTAAGGGAGCGCACAAAACATCACTTGTGCGGGAGCAAGACAGAGGTCTGCTTGGCCTCAGACAGCAGGACCGCCTCTTCTTTTACCGTGTCTGTCCCTTCGGGGCCACTTTTTCAAGCCACTGGTTTGCCCGCTTGGGAGGCTTCTTTGTGCGCTGCTTACATCTACTTATTTGGATAGCCCATGTCCTCATGTTATACGTAGATGATCTGCTTCTTTGGCAAAACGCTCGCGCACTACCCCTCAGCGCTTCCCTGGTTTTGGCTTTCTGCTCCTGCTTCAATATACCGCTTAGCTGGCGCAAACTACAGATGGGCCCTTCTATAACTTGGATAGGGTGGCAGTTAGATTTCCATGCCGGCTGTTACACTCTTCCCGACGCCAAACGCTTGAAGCTGCTTTCCCAGGTGGAGGAATGCCTTCGGCACCGACTTGTCAGCCGCAAACAGCTTGACAAACTTCTCGGTCTCCTCCAGTGGATTCTGCATGGGCTTCCTGCTTTACGACCCTGGTTGTGCACACTTTACGATGACATGCATAGACCACTTGGGACGAACGTAAGCATCAGCCCATGCCTTTGGCCAGGTATTCATACATACTTGGACGACAAGCTCCGCTTCACTGGTAAACCGCCGGGCACCAGCATTTCAGAAGGATCCACTTTGTTGTCAGCTCGCCACAAAACATTGCACAGCAAGGCTGATCTCGCTTTGGTCCCGGTAAGCACCAAACGCATGTGGCTTCGGGTTACGGACCCCACTTCATCCAAGCGACGCCTCTCAGAATCCAGCAGAGAAACACTTTCTTTCTTTGCCCACTTGAGCTCCAGGGACTGGCGTCCACGGCCGCTTAGACCACCACCCACGAGCTCAGTGGAATCAGCAGCCGATGCCTTCGGCAAAGGCAACGACTGCGGCGTCGGGGGATGGCTCCTTCTCCCATGTGGCCGCCTGCTTTGGTTTTCGCATCGCTATACCGTGCAGGACTTCCTGGAGCTCGGTCTGCCAATGCAGCCTAACGCCAACTTGGACATTTCCAGCTATGAGACGTTGGCACAGTGCTACGTTCTTCTCGCTTTCTGGAAAGCCCATGGTTCTGGCCGCTTGGCTTTGAAATTACCAGCTTTGAGCGATAATAGTGGCGCTGAATCGGTGTGTAACAAACTTTACACCTCCAAAGTACCACTTAATCTTTTCGTTCGCAAGCTTTCGATGTGGAGCTCCATTACCGGTGTCACTTTGGACTGCAGCCACAGTGCTGGCGAAAAGAACGACGACGCAGACATGCTTTCGCGGTGGGACGGCTGCGCAGAACTTCCGGCCAAGTTTCTGCCATCAAACCGCATTGAGCTTTACCTCTCTGAGTTCTGGCAGATCCGCTTTCAAGTGACACTCTTTCCAGCTGATACCTTTTTGAAGTGGCAGCTTCCATCAGCCACCAGATTGGGCCCGACAAACCGAGGCTCCAATAAGCGCAAGTAGCTATGCTTTGAAGCTTCCTCACCTCACTTCTCCACTTGGCTTCTAGAGCGTCTTGCGAGGTTTCGGCTTGCCAGTTTCTTGCTTGGGCTTTTCGACTGCTCCGCTGCTTCAGCTTTCGATCCGGAAGGTCAAAGACCCCGGAACTTTCACAGAGCAGCTTTCAACCTGCAGAGCAGTCGTACTCCGGCAAGCCGAAAAGGAGAGAAGTGCGAGTGAAGCCACTGTCGACTTTTGCTCCCGCTTTGTAGCTTCGCAGTAGCCTCGTAGCCTTTTGGTGTTGCGTGGTGTAGAACTGTCCTGAACGGTTCCTGTGTTTACTCAGGGTTGTTTCGGAAGTTCTTACCCCGCTGCCCCGCTTGGGTTCAAGCATACACCACGCAACAGCAGCTTGCTTTCTAAAACTTTCCCGCCCGCCCACACCTTTTGGGGGGCTGCTTTCAGCACAGGGAGCTTACGTCGCACTCCGGCAAGCCGAAAAGGAGAGAAGTGCGAGTGAAGCCACTGTCGACTTTTGCTCCCGCTTTGTAGCTTCGCAGTAGCCTCGTAGCCTTTTGGTGTTGCGTGGTGTAGAACTGTCCTGAACGACGCCTTGTGGCAACTTGAATGGAATCTCTGCAGTTTGGCTCAATCTCGCCTGGCAGGCCCAGCGCGCAACAGTTGCAGGCGGCTGATGGTTTTTACTTGCCTTCAAGTGTTGCATGAACATGCGAATTGAGTCGTTGCTTCTTGGTGAAGTAGTAAAGTTGGGCACAGCGAGACTGGAGCGAGGTCCACCAGACCACCTTCTTCAGAAACAAACATTGAAGAGCATGGTCACCGAATTGGCACAAAAATCGAAGGAAGATCCATTAGAATCGAAGATGTGGGGGTGTGAGAGTTTGCTGGTCATTCATACTTCCCGTAAGGTGAGCATGTAGCAAAGCTATATTCAGTCGCTGAATTGAGACGTCTGTGGCAGGTTCGAGTCAGAAAGAAGTTTGAGAAGTTCGTGGAGCCTGGATGACCGTTGTGCCCTGATTGCTGCAATTTCTGCCCGGAGGTTGCATCTGCCTCAAATTTTGCCTGGCCTCCCGAATCTCTCCGTAACAGCGGGCTCCAATCTGGCATAGGGAAGCAGCTGCAGGGCATTCGGAGCATTGCGCGGCTGGTTGTTCCTTCATTTTCACTGTCGGTGACATTGCAGGCACTTCCTCTGCTACTGAGAGTCAGAAGCAATTCAGGCCGCCTGCCTTACAGCAGAACAACCGTGCATCTGCGTTTTGAGTTTTGCCAGGTTTCCCAGGTTTGCCTGCAGCTGGAAGTGGCGAAAAATCCTTAGAAGGTCGTGGGTTCAGCAACCCCAAGCCTCTCAAAGGTTTGCTTGAGGGCACACCCCAGCCTTCCGGGTTTCGTCTGTTTCCGGAAATCTTGCTGCACAGCTGTCCTCTCGCAGGCAACTCACCCTTCGGAACCTTCGTCCTGAGCTCTCTTCAGTTGTGTGGGCCAGCTCCGCCTGCAGGCCGCACAGCCAGCCAGCCGACGTGGCTGCAGCAAGCACACCCCAACCTTCCGGATTTTGTTCGTTTCCTGAAGAGGGCCCCTGAAGCTGTGCACTGCCCGCGGTCTTGCAGCATTCTTCTAGGAAGATTCTCAACAATTTCAAGGTGAAGCCTGACAAAGGTTGCAGAGTCGTACGAAGCAACTCTTGCTGGAGAGCTGCCTTCTCGCAGGCTGAGTGCTGGTCAGCTCAATTCACCCTTCGTGCTGAACTCTCTTCAGTGGTGTGGGCCAGCTCCGCCTGCAATGACAACACTTTCATGCACTCCCTGCAACAACTGTGTCTCGGCAAGGGACAGAACCGGGCCAGCTTCGTTTACCGGCCTCTACGATCCAGTGCCAACAGCGGATGGCCCGCCGTAGATCGTTGAGCAAGTGCTGTTGCCGTTCTGCAGAGTTGCGTGGGCTGTGTGCCACAGCTGGCTGCGGAGCTGGCTACTTCGGGTTCGGGAAGCAGCTGCGGTGCTCAATCCCGAAGCAAGATCCTTGTGAAGCCCCGCTTTTTGAGTGCAGTGCACACGGTTTTTGGCACGTTCTGAAATGACGACATCCCAAACTTGCTATGCTGCTTGCCTGCAGCCGAAACGAGCTTAAACGGCGCAGGTGCACTCTAGGTCCCTAGGCCCTCTGTCGATTTCGTAGTAGTAGTCGGCGTTACCACTGCGAGGATTGTGCTGCCGTGCTAGCCTTTTCGTGGATCTCCACGAATGTTATCAGTGCGTCCGCGCCAGCACTCAGCGCGCTCGCGCCAGCACTCAGCGCGCTCAGCGTCGATGGTCCTCTCGCAGGCACGCCTTCGGCTTTTCTTTCAGTCTTAACACCACCCAGAGCATGTCCCTGTAGGCAAGCTGCCCTCAAACCGGTCTCAAGATGTTGCTGGTTTTATCCATGTTTCCATGGAGCATCTCATGCCTTCCTGGATCGTGACTGTGGGAATCTTTGCATTCTAAGACGAGGCTACTCGTCTTCATGCTGCCTACATGTAAACGGCTGTAAATCGAGGTAGCTCCAGCGGCCTCTAGCGGCAGGAGGGTGGGCTCAGCGCTGACAACGATTTTCCCGATGTTCTGCCCGACTCTCCCTTTCTTGCAAGAGACGTGAAAAGGCTCAACTCGAGCAAAGTCCAGTCTGCACAGAGAAGAGCCATGTCCCTCTCCAAATTAAAGCACGCTCGATGCCGATCGCTTGAGGGCTTGAGTCTGAGAGCTCCGGTTCGGCAGTTCTGACCCCCTGTGCGTGAGCCAACTCTTCCGAAGCAGATGGCGGGCTAGGGTCCCGGAAGTGCCTGCAATGGGTGCAGCACTTGAGCCGTGCTGCTCGCTTTCACTACGCAGCAATGGTGGTACGAGTCGGGCCGCTGCGGCTGCCTCCAATGTCTTCAGATGCAGGTCAGGCGCAATTCTTCAACACATGGCTTACTTCCAGACCTGCAGAAAGAACAGAAACCAAGCCCGAGGCTGCCGAGGCTGAAGCCACGGCTGATGCCGGGCCTGGTCTGCGAGGCCTTCTTTCAGGCTCCAGGTCTCAGCTACGCTCAGCTCCTGAGTGCAGGTTGGTCTTAGGTTCCGCTGCTCGCAATGCCGGGCGAAGGAGCGGCGAGCCACAGCACCGAAGACTTCAGTCACCGCTGATTGTTGTATTGTTGCAACTTGTTTCCGATGAACCCTGCAACTTCAGGGTTCCGCAAAGGTCTTTGGCGCAGATGACGGGGCATTCCACCCTAAACCCTAGGCCCCAGACCCTAAACCAAACCCTAAAGTCGAGAAGACCCCTCATAGGGATCCGAGCCTCGAAAGGGGCCTTCGAGTGACCCTAACCCCCCCGCCCCCAGCCACCCCCACCCCCCCAACCCCTCTTGCACATCTAATCGAGCATGCGCTCTAGGCGTGCCCTAATATGGAGCTCGGGCTGTGTAGGATACGTTCACGGTCTGAGCACGACAGAAAGAAGCTCTCAGGAGCCCCTGGCACCGTCCAAGAGTCATCTTCATCTGTGCATAGCATGTCATGCTTGCGTTAGTGCTACATCAGCTGCTTTCATGAGCAGGCATTTGAGCTTGGTTGCAGGGTTGCGCAGATGCTGTCAGGTGGATGGCAGTTTCGGACCTGTGCAGTCACAATAAAATCTCGGGACACCAAAGCGTGTTGGGCCTTTCCGTGGCCGTTCTGCAAGTGCTCGAAGGGCTTGGCGGCTGCTGTCCTCTCGCAGCGCTTCTGCCTTGGTGTGCTGTGTGCAATCCGTTGCTGTGCCTTCAAGAGTGGCCCAGCGGCCATTTCTCGTGCGTGCGCGGATGCGAAAACCCCATGACTTTCAGAACCTTTCGTTCTGCCAGGTGCTGGAGGGTCTATCCAGCGAGCTGGCCGGCTGGGTGATGCTTCTCTTGGCAGCACCACATCAGCCGCCTTCATGAGATGTGTGTAGGCTTTTCAGCTTGGTGACTTTTCGTTGCAATTCGAGCTCCAGTGACGGTATTGCAGCGACATGCTGCGAACGCATGGGATTGTCCGTTTCGGTTTCAGGTGGATGGCAGCTCCGAATCTGTGCAGTGACAATAAAATCTCGGGACACCAAAGCGTGTTGGGCCTTTCAATGGCCGTTCTGCAAGCGCTCGAAGGGCTTGGCGGCTGCTGTGCTCTCGCAGCGCTTCTGCCTTGGTGCGCTGTGTGCAATCCGTTGCTGTGCCTTCAAGAGTGGCCCAGCGGCACCCACATCTATTGCCTCAGTCAGCTCTGGTTCGATATCCTTGTGTGCTTGAATTTTCAGATAAAGCCCGCGAAGAGATGTGAAGCTTTCATGGCAAACTGACGTGCGATCTGCCTCGAGGAGTGGATGGTCCTCGGGCTTCGAGCTTTTCCCACTTGTTTTTTCTTCGTTCTCTGCGATGTTGAGTCCCGCCTATCGTGAGGTTGCAGGCCAAGCTTGCTGCTCGCCGTCAAAGTGCCCTGAATTGAGTGCGGCTGACGCGCTTCGCGGATTGATAGGTTAGTGCCAAAACGTCTTCTTCGCCGTAAGTGCAACGAGCCATACATGGCAGACGTGCGTTCTGCCTGGAGGGGTGCGTTTCGGAAGCTTTCCGATACCGCAGATGAGCCCTGGTGGGTGACCTCTACTCAGAGCATGCCGGCTAAGCGAGGCCCATGTCGGCTTCTCTGTACGGCATCAACGTTCGTCTCCTGCCCCGTGCACCTCAGGTTTCCGACGTGCTGTTAAAGGAGCCATACCTCCTTCACTGTTCTTCGGGCTTCGATCCTTTCCCACTTGTTTTTCTTGGTTCGCTCAGATGTTGAGTTCCGCCTCTCGTGAGGTTGCAGGCCAAGCTTGCCGCACGCCGTCAAATTGTGCTGAATTGGGCGCGGCTGACGAGCTTTGCGCATCGATAGCTTTAGTGCCAAAAGGTCTTCTTCGCGGTAGGTGCAAAGAGCCAGACATGGCAGACACGCGTTCTGTCTGGAGGGGTGCATTCCAGAAGCTTTCCGAGTGCAGAGTGCATGCCCGGTCTGTCTCATGCTGCCAAAACGCAGATTAGCCCTGGCGGGTGACCTCCACTGAGCCCATGGCGGCTAAGGCGGGGCCCATGTCGGCTTGCGCTGCATGGCGTCAGGTGCACAGTCTGTTCACACACGGCCACGGGTTTGAGTCCTCGGCCTGTCTGGAACATCACTCATTGCATTAACTTGGTTCTCTAACCCCGTGGCGCAGATCCGCCTCCGGTCTCGAGAAAAGAGCGCTGCAGAGCCTGCTGGGACTCAACTACCCTTGCACGTTTCGTTGGGCTTTGCTGTACTTTCGTGAGTTGCTGCAGGAGATACAGTGATGTCGTAAAGAGGCTGCAGTCGTTGATGTTGTTTGTAACATATCCTGTTTTGCGCTTTCGGCCGTGCCTGGGCAAGAAAAGGTTGCAGGTCTTAGGGTCAGGATCTTTTGTCTCGGAAAGAGGTCGACTGAAAAGAGCGTACACGGCACCTTACTTGAGTTGTTTTGCGCCACAGCTAGAAATCAGTCAAGTTGAAACATAGACACTTAGCCCTAGCCGCTCCATTGCACGAGTATTCATGCTTGTTGCTGGAAGATCAAGTAAATCGCTACACTTCTGAGATGCAGAGATCACCAGGAGGGACTCTGCATCTCGGAAGACTGTTGTGTCACTTGCGCACCTTGCTCGTCAAAAAGCAAGCGCGGAGAACTGCTGCTTACCTGATGTGAGGCCGTATAATCCGACCCCGTGCATTGCCTGGGGTGGTACCTACCATTTAGTGTGGCTCGAGTGTGGTCGGGAGTGTGCGAGAGTGACGAGCTCACGACTTGGCTTCGCTAAATTAACTATCTTAGTAAAGCTTTCTGGCGCAGAAAGCTTTACTAGGATAGTTGATTCAGCGACGGCTTCTCATAGCTGAGCTTCTGCTGACGGACGGTTGCTGATGTTCGCCTCTGCAGGCAAGCTCGGTGATACGCCCTATTTGCGTCGTAAGGTATCAGAATCGTCCGGCCTTCCTAACTGCAGAGTCCTTCCTCAGCTCAAGAGGGTCTCTAGCACGGTGTTGCAGTGTCGCATTAAACTGCATCGAATTCCTCTATCTCGTTTGTATTGCATGTGTGTCGGAAGGTTGAGGGTTTCCCACCAACCCCAAAGGCAAATTCCCAGCAGCTGTTATCTGGCTTCGAGGCCCGAAGGTGGACAATGCGTGCAGGCCCACCAACTTGATCGTATGGAGCCAAGCCTACTCCTTTAGCATCAGGTCAAGGCAACAGCACGGGAAGCGAAGAGCAGCAGACGCCTGGCATCGTGTTACAAGACAGTGTATGTACAAGGATTACAAGGACGATGATTCCAAAAAAGCGCAGCACGCGAGCAAGAGTTTATCGCGCCCTGCTGTGATGCGGCCGGGCACCACTTTTGAACGACTTGAAGGAGCATGATGCTTCTGACATGGCAGAGGTGCAACCTTAAAATATCTCGAGTGCAAAGAGGTTGCAGTTTCAGGGTTGTTCAAGTCGCAGGCGCTTCCAACGGAGACACCCGAAGGCGGACGTGCTTTGTCTTGAGCTATGTCTGTGTTAGTTACTAGTTGCATGGATGTTCCGTCAATCGCATTCCTGTCTGTGGCTCAGCAGGCATTGGCTTAGGCCATTGCGATCAAGATGATGTTGAAGACGAGGAGATCTTGTTCCGAGCATTGCTTTCTTGTTTGCTAGGTGTGTCCCTGGACGCAGAGTTTTCAGGACGAGCCTTGTTGCCGGATATGTCGGCAAGGGGAGGAGGCCTGTATAATGAAGTCAGGGCACTGTCGGCGTCATCGGAAGCATGATGATTGAAGGTGAATTCTGCTGTGTTTTGGCGGTTGGCGTGCCAGGCTGGTAAGCTCTACTGCCCGTGCAGATGTGCCGGCAGCATCAAGTGGATTCACGAGCCCTGGCCTAAGAAATTGCATGTTCGCGTGCCTCGCGTGGTGGCGCCTCTGGAGCTCGGGCAGTTCGGGGACCGGACTGATTTACCCCTCCTGCGTCAGGGAGTGTCTGCAAGCTTGGCTGCGGAGCAAAGACGGCAAGACGGCCACGGCCTCGGTGACTCGGGACTGTTCCCGTGGATCCCGTCGTGTCCAAAGGCTTGCGAGTTGTGCGGACATTCCTTCGACTTCGTTCCGGTCCCGATCTTAGCAAGAGCGCGCTAGCCGATCGTATCTTTGAGAGGGTGTCGCTCATCGCTGTGAGCGGTGTATCATGGTTTCCATCCAGCCAGGTTTATTCTAAGAACGCACCGCAGCGGCTGACCATCTCCGACTGGGCATTCTGGCTTTTATTGGAGCTCTTGACAAATCCTGCAGAAACTTCACATTCACGAGGATTGTCCGCCGTATCCAAGATATCAATCAGCTAAGTCCCGTCAGTTTCAGTCCACCCTGAGAAGAGGTCCAGACCTCCCCAAAGGTAAGATTTCAGCCAGGTTGGAGCCTTCTGCTCGTCTTCCTATCGCGTGCTGCCGGCAAAGTTCCGCCGCGGGGAGGGGGCGCTTTTTTTTCCAGCTTCCGCGGCTTGGGTGAAGACTTGCGGAGTTTCGTCAAGTCATTGCTTTGAACGAGCGCGAGCGAGTCCCTTCAGAAAGGCTTTCGAGCCAGTCCCCATCAGTCCCCCGACCCCGAGCGGCTGCCACTTCTGCATTGCTTAGATTGGGATTCCAGACGTGATGCCGCCTTGTGGCAGGTCGGTCATCGCGTCTTGCGCGTTCTTTACGTCGCTTGGCTGCTGCATCGCGTTGGGCGAGCATTGACGTCCGTCCTAGTTTAGCACTTCCGTGGCGTTCTTGGCGATCGGCCCGACGACAGACAAGCATCGGCTCTCCAAACTCTTTAAACCAAGGCTGTTGGACTTTGGGGCAGGGACCTTAGTGGCCCCAGCCAGACTGATGATGATGTTTGCCCGACTTCTGCTTCTAATTGTCATCAGAAGATTCCAGTGTTCGCCTCGTCTCTGGCTTTGTTTTACCGTTTGCTCTGCCGCCGAGGTTTCTTGCTTCCTGTTCTGACGATCATGGCCACGCGCTCGATCTTCGGGAGGCAGCCCAGGCGCCGGCCCACAGGGCTGTTGGCCCCACGAGGTTTGAATTTTCTCGCCTGAGCTTGGCCTGCGCAGGCCCGCATTCGGATCAGCGTGGCATGCGCTGGTCTCAGCACATGTCAGAAGTGTTTGTGCGTATGTGTATGCGTGCGTATGTGCGCGCTCCACACTGCCAAGTTAGCAGGTGCACAATCCCTCGAGGTAGTTGGGAGTGTCATGTCATGTCGGGTTTAAACTCGTGGATTAAGCACGCTTCAGCTCGGATGTCTCTTGCAACTGCGCCGACGACGTGGGATGAGGTTCTTGCCTTGACCTTCGACATATTGATCGGGGAGTGCTTGTCTGTGGCAGGCCTTTGGAGGGCTCCCTGTCACTGTCGGCTCGCACAGCCAAGCCCGTGTTCTAGTAATCAATTCTTTCTCAGTTTCTCCTTCTGACAGGCATAGCTTTCATATACTTGTTGTCCTTCCTTACTGCTGCTGAGAGCTCAGGGGCTCACGGGAGGAAGGGATGATCTCGGGGATCCGTCCTGTCTTCCGAGGTGCGAAGTTCGCTGCCAGCAGATGCAGCATCTTCACAAAGTGAAGGCTGCTTCGAGAGTTTGTCGATGCTACGCTGTAGTGCTGGGGGCAAATTTCAGTTGATAGCATGGGCGTGCAAGCGGGTTGGCTACACTACCACCACTGCTGTGGTGGTCCGTCATTGACATCGCTCTTTTACCAAGGTGCAGCACCTGCGCCTGTGGATGTACAGCTTCAGCCAGTGGCCGGCGAGGCTTGCGTGGAATTAAATGGACATCTGCCGCCATATCCATATGTCACACTAGGGTATAGCAAAGTGGTTCGTTTGAAGCAATGCGGGAAGTTGCCTCAGCTCTCCATGGCAGCTGCAGGAGACGACGACGGACTCTCACGAGTCCACTGTTTCAGTGGGAATTCAGGCAGCACTTTCTTGTCGAATCTTGGACAAAATTCAGCGGTGAGCAACAGGTCGACACGCGGCAACGCCAGGACGAGGTGGACCCGGAAGAGGTGAGGGAGTAAGCTGTGATTGCAACGGCCAGGGAATTTTGAAAGCCACACTTGCACAGCCTAGCACGTGGTGAGGATCTGCTGAACATCATGGGCTTGCAGGGCAACCCTGCTGAACCCTCAGTTTTTGTTCTAAACATCTGACTGGTATTGCTGGGGGGCAGAAGAGGAACAATGCACACTGGCAGAGTCTTTCAAAGGTGCGCTCTTTGTTGAGTATGTTGACCTTCCTTTGTGCCAACGTGGCGGGTATCTACACTTTCTTGGTCTGCCCGCCAGGATTGACTTGCACAGGTCCTTGCGAGAGCTGACGCATGTGCCTGGCGATGTTCGACCCTCTTAATGCTTTGGGTCTTGCTTAACCACTGAGCTGTGTTTCTCTAGTCAGACGTGGCTCGAGGCGTTTGCCAGTGTTCGCGACTGCAACGGGGGTTGGGTGGTTCAGGGTCTCGTCTGGCATGGTGACGCGTTGCACGCTCGTGTCCGACTTAGGCTTACGTAAACGCTATTTCGGCCGCGGCAGAGGATCCGAATCCCTTCTGGACGACGTAGAAAAGCAGCTCGATGTCCGATTCAAGGTTTGAGAGTCTGCAGTTCCAAAGCCGAGCAGTCTGACATACTCTCATCAAGTTGTTTGCCAATCCTATGCCTATCGACGGGACCGCATTCGCGTTCGTGGCTCGGGACTCCTCGCAAGTTTGTCCAGCACCCTATGGTACTATAGAGCTTGCACCCAGCAGCAACACAACCAAAAACGACGTACTAGGGCTGTTCGTTTCCTGGTGATTTCAAGCACTTGGTTTTAAAGTTGGTTTATGGCTTTGAGTATCGAATGCCTGGCTCGCTTTACGATTTAGGCCAGGGTTTAGTGTACGTAGAGAACACCATGCTAGCCTGCCGCAAGATGCTTGCTTCATTTCAGCTTCTGTTCCATCTCGCTTGGTGTCTTTTGGTCGTGCGAGATCTGAATTCCACGGCTTCTTGCGTCTCACAGAGCGAACCCTTCAATGAGCACACGTCTTGTTTACCGAGATGCATGGCTGTTCGTAGTTTCAAGGAAGGCTCGTATTGATGTACGACTGACTTCTCCCGGGGCCCTAGTTTCAAGCAGATCTCTGCCAGGGTTTGCCTTCATACTTGGGTCGCTGGACTCTGGCTCGGGTGCCGATGCCTTAAATGTCAAGACATGGAGCCGGAGCGATGTGCGAAGTGCTTTCGACAAGCCCAGGCTACCCTGGATCCAGGCAGATCTGCTGCGTTGGCTGGGCTTTTTGTCCTCAGCTCTGCGGCCAGCGAGGCCGTGGCTCCAGAAATCGTTATGCTGATATCGTGGCTGGAGCCTCAGAGTCGACGCTTCGAGCCCCCTCGACTGTTGAGACGCTGTAGGTCTTCGACTGACGAGAGCTCTCGCTCAAGAGGAGCGAGGCCTTCAGAGAGAGCCTTTCCGGTCCAGATCCAGAGCAGATGGCAGCCAGGTCTTCCGTGGAGCTTCCCTCTGCTGGGGTGAACGTCATACTGGACTGCTGCGGTACTGGTTGTGTTTGCTTGACCGGAAACTCAGCCAGAAGCCGATACGATGTCCACTGTGCAAATCGTTTTACGTGTGCACTAGCACCATTAGACAGAGGACCTCTTGGCCTTTCTGTTTGGGCCGCTCTCCCAGAAGCTCACGCTGCACAGAAACAGAAGCCGCTAGACCCCCCGGGCACTCGCCAGGTATGCTGTCCTGGCATGTTGCATGATCGTTTTTGCCAGGGGCTCGGCTTCTGTCTTTCGTCGGCCCAGAAGTGGCTTTCCACAAGTCGGACTCTTCATGTACATAAACAGATTTCAGCAGTCGGACATGTCAGTTGTGAGCTCCTGGATTTTTCGGAGTCTTCACCCCAATTCTGATTCTTGACTGCTTGCCGCTCGTTGAATTGCTCGGCCATCTACCCATTTGACTTACTCGTAGCTGATCCCTTGCACTTTGGCCCGCCGGACTCCGTCGGACTGCTTCTGCTTGGCAGGTGCTTGGGCTGCTGTTAGTTGGGGCCGTCACTGGGTGCGGCCAGAATTCGCGAAGTTGGCAGGCTGCCGGGCTAGCACCGTGGACTGTTTTGCTCGGAAACAAGTGCACCAAGACAGGCATGCCGAACCCTGGTGGTTGCTGCTCGAAGCCACCTGTGCGAGAGCATCTTGCAAACATGGTGCAGCCCCTGCGGCCTTCGCTTTGTGATAGTAGTTCATCCCTTGGGGTTCTAAGGCAGCGGATTCAGCGCATCGCAGTGGCCTTGCTGCAGCTTGTGTCACCTGCTCAGTGCATCCTCTTGTTGGATTTTGCAAAGGCGCCTGTTTTTTACCTTGCTGAGGGCCTTTCCTTCATACGTTGGCCACTTGGTGCTATGCCTTCTCGCCGGACCCGTGCCTTGTCCGACGTCTGCCACCATGCTGCCGCCGCACAGCTCGCATCATGTCAGCCGACGCCAGGTGCTTCACTTGTCGCAGCAGGGGAGAGCCTCGCTGATGAGTGCGAACCCGTTCATCACCTTCGCCAGACGCCTCAGAGAAGTCTTCTTGTCAATCTTTGCCTTTTCTAGCTTCCTCACCCTATCGAAGGTGATGCAGCTCTTTATTGGCTATGTGCACCTCTGGGGCTTCGCCTTCATGGAGGGCTGCGTTGCCAATGCCTCCTCCCCAGAAACCCCTGAACACCTTTCGATCCATGAAATGTGTGGGAAGGTCCTCATGCCCGACGTTGTGCAGCATCCTCCTTAATGCAGCAGACAATATCCAGCCGTGTGCAAGTCTGGCCGCTGTTCTCATCCGTGACAGCTGGTGAGGCGAGCTTCTCTGAACTTCTTCGTGAGTGCCATCAACTGCCATAGGCCGGAGCTTTCGGTTAAGATGCATCTTTTTTGGTTGTCGCCTGGCCAACTTCAGGCGCCTCTTCGGCACGATGACAGAAGAGCTGGGTGGGCATGCCAAGCTGTGCTGCCGCGTCATCGTGTCAGTGAGTGGTTAGCCCGAATCGAGGTCGCCAGTTCGTTTCTTTTTCAGTCGCGTTGGTGCAGTTGCAGCACGTAGTACTTTCGTCCTACAACTATGCGGGCTTTGCTGGGATCTAATCTTCAGGAAAGGCTTGAAAGTCTCAGCAGTTATATCAGCTCAATGATTCAGCGACAAGACAGCCCTCCGGGCAGCCTGATCCTTTTTTTGACTGGGGGCCTTTGATGCCAGGGAGGAGTCGGAGAACACATGTCTGTTTGCCGTTGTGGCACGTTGCAGACAAACGCGATAAACAGGCCCTTGTCCACCATACTGTGCCTCCTGCAAGTGGTGTCAGGCTTGTCTGAAGCCACGTGCGGCCCTCGAAGCAGGGCTCTTTTTTATGGCCCCGAGCATGTGAATTCCAGTTTCGGAGGCCGCTGCCGCCGCACTGGGCCACGTTGAAGCTTTCGCTGATCCATGCCAGCCTCTTGGTCTCGTGGTGTTGAGCGACGCATGACGCACCTGCTTTCCTGGCCCGCTTTCCGGCAGGTTGCCGTGCACACGCCTCTGGTCTTCGCGGTCTGGTACTTGCCGGCCTTCCTCCTCGACAGGCCTCTTGAAGAATGCACGCATCGCCAGTGCCTGGCAAGCCGACAGCCAGGCTTGTGGGCGAGGCGCTCTTTCCGATGCTGCTGGTGGACCAGACAGGCTCATCAGGGCAGCGAAAGATAGCGATGCGCGGCTGGAAAGTGCCTCCGTGTGTGCAGCTAGCAGGTGATGTCATCGAGGGCCTTCATCGAAGAGATCCCTTCTCCTTGTCTGGTCATGTTCTTATCTGTGCTCTCGTGACAGCTTCGGGAGATCACATGTGCAGCTCCACTCGCGAATCGGGGCCTCGCCTAAACTCAAAAAGCGAAGTCTAAGATCGCGTGTGGGACCTCGACCTAGTGCTCGCAACCTGCCATTGGCTTTCAAGCATGTGCGATCGCGCAGTGTGCAAGCGCTCACGACGAGCCCACCCGTTTGAATTCTTCGGCACTAAATCCGTCAGTCATGAGCGGCATCTGACTCTGACTACGCGGTATAAAGCAAGACCCTTCTCTTTTCCACCTCGAAGCACATCGCCGCGAGTTCTTTCCTTATCGGGGAGCCGAGGCCCCGTCGGTGTACCTGCTCGGCCCAACAGCCCGGGCCGAAGACAGAACAGCCGACTCTTCTTGCTGCGGCCCCCCAAGATGCTAAAGTTCCGAGGCAAAGCAAAGAACGGCGGAATGGCAGAGGGTCAGTCGCTCTTCGTGCTGGAGCTAATGCAGCTCTACGTGCTGGCATGTCCCTGAGGTCTCTCTAAGCTGCGCAAGAGGGTGCTTTTGGATCACATCTGAGCTCAGGTCCTGCAGTGCATCCGAATCCTCGAGACATCGCCCGTAATGACGCGACTCATCTCGTCCGGGCTGGATCCTTGGAGACATTTGTATTGGTTGTCTCACCAAGACATCCCATCCCCGCCCTGAGCTTGCACCTCTCAGGTTGCGATGTTGGCTTCGTGCCATCGGCTTCGGGCATCTCTTGGCGCAGACCTTGGCGCAAAAGCCACAGCAGGAGGCACCAGTGCCACGGTCTGAGGTTGGTGAGTCGCCAGCGCCTTCTCAGGCGGGCTTTTGCGGATACCGGAGTGTCGCAGTCAAAAAGAGTCCCAGGTGCAGTCTGAAGCGGAGTGGTCGGATTGGGTGGTGAAACCCTGGAAATTCCTTGGAGCCTGGGGCACAGTCCCACAGTAGCTAGTGGTTTTGCAACGCCAACACGATTCAAGAAGAGGTTTCCGGGCTTGTTGTCGTCATCTGCTGGTCAGTGATGGTTGCCGCCTCAGTGCAGCAGGGCTGAAGCTTCAATGGCTGTGCTTTTCCAACAACTTTGGCGTGGAGGCACTGGTCCTGGCTCTGCCCCTGGCTACCGGAAGGCAGTGGTCTCCAGCCGAAGCTGAAGAGCTCTAATGACTGAAATGCTTGCCGTGGAAGGCTGATCGTGGGATTGATCCTGTCCTCACAGGCGGGGGAGATGTGACTGATTTCTTGTGGCACGGACGTACAGCACCGGCTTCGTCTGGTACTGCACAGCCAGAAACCTGACGACATGAGGCAAAGCGATTTTCGGATTTCCTGCCGCTGAGCACTGTCCTCACATGATTCCACTGGCTGCTTGACCGGATGTTCAATTGAAGAGATTCAAAGCCCTGCTTTGAGGCATGGGGGTCGTCGTGGCGTCAGCTTGGATTCTGGTGACCGTGAAGCTGGGTGAGGCGGCTTGTGGCCCTCCTTGGAAAGCTTTCCGCAGACCACTCAACGATCAGCATTATCCAACTTGAAGTCAGCAAGACATGGCAGGCACTGCCGCGCATCCTAGAGCAAGCCTCGGCACTGAGGAGACACAGGTTGAGCATGACTCTGCATCTGCACACACGGAATGTGTAAAGGAAGCTGATTGCCAGGTGCTTGCACATCCTCGCCTGTGGCTTTTCAGCTGGAGCAATGCTTCTGACAGTGTCCTTCGCCCAGCCGTTGCAGCTTGCATCACTCCGTTTGCAATCGATGTTTGGACTTTCTGGTTCAAGCTTTTTACTGCATGATGTGGCATCGCAAGCAGAGCCTAAAGTTAGACAACGTACGATGTGCCCCCGCTGTTTTCTTCGACCTTGGCATGCGAGTGTGGCAAGACAGATTAGACATCTGACGAGAAGCATTGACAGATCTGTTGCTGCGACACGGTTGCTGTGCCAATGCTGCGCTTAAATGTTGGACTGCGGTATCCTCGCGCAGCACTCGGGCTGTTTCAGAAGCTTGCAATGGCATAGCAGGGCCTTGCGTCCCTAACTTGGTGGCCCAGGCCGAGTCCACAGTGCAGCAGCAGCTCCGAACTTTCTCCTCCGAGCAGAGGCAACGAACACCTCTGCGGTTGCCCTGCACAAGCGCTGATGTCAGTGGTTTGTTCTTGCAGGATTGCCTGCCGTATAGAAGTGGCTCGCGTGCCTTCTTCTTCAAGAGCAAGTCTGAGGCAGGAGAGTCAAAAGAGGTCGAACCGAGACGCGGCAATGTGAATGGCGGCAGAGATTGCACCTGCAGACATGACACTGCACATTCGGCAAGCTCACTTACTTGTATTTACACCGTTATGTTGTTGTGCAGCGCACCCGGGGTGAAATGAAGAACTTTCAGATTCCATCATTGCGGTTATGAAGAACATGGGGTCTTGGATGATCGGTTTGCAGGTTTCAAGGAGAGGTTTGAATCACAAGAGCCTGCAGGGACCGCTCCTGGGAATCCAGGGCTTGGATTCAGCGGAAGACTTTCCGGCCTTGGCAGCAGATGTTGTCAAGCTGAGCCGACAAAAAATGGACGGCCTAGCAGCGTGCACCCCGCTCGAGACGGTCTCGCTACTGGACGATGTGTCGAATGGCCTCTGCCAGATAGCGGATGCTGCTGAGCTGATCCGCAATGTCCATCCAGACGAGGCCTACAGCGTCAATGGTTCCGCTGCAGTCCAAGAAATTGCCGGGTATATGAGTGAGGTGAACCTCGATACAGCGGTCTACAATTGCATGAAAACCTCAGAAAATTCCAAGGGCGTTGAATCCATGCCGCTGGAAGCTTGCAACGTGTTGCGCCACATGCGAGTATCGATGGAGCACGAAGGCATTCATCTCGCAGAAGCTGAGAAGCAAGCATGCATGCAGATGCTGGATGCAGAGCAGCAGCTTTCTTTTGACATAGTTCATCGTCAGGAGCAAGTGCGTCAGCAGGTGTCTGCTGAGACTGAAGGAGCATGGCTGCCGGTGTCAGCGTTGGACAGCCTAAACTTGGACCAGTGGCGACTTAAGCGCCGTAGTGCTCGTGGTGGTGAAGAAGTCCACATTCCCCGTGATACCTTTCTCGCAGATAGGATACTGAAAACCGTCCCGTGTGGCGAGACACGGCAACGAATGCACCAAGCGCAGCAGAACCGGGACGCGACCGGAGAGGAGATGATGCTGCAGCTACTCTCGGTGCGACAGCAGCTGGCGAAGATACGTGGCTACGACACTTGGGCCCATTATGCACAAAGGGAGGCTCTTTTCGAGGGCCCCGAGAAAGTGCAAGAGTTCCTCGAGACGGCCTGGGACGCTTTGAGGCCCGGCTTTTTGACGGAGCTACAGCTTCTGGCGGAGGAGAAGCAAAGCATCGGTCTTGGTGATTCCTTGGAGCCCTGGGATGTACCGTTTCTCTTGCGGAGATGCAAGCAGAGGCACCGAGAGGCCGATGAGATTTCGGAATACCTGAGCTATGGCTCCCTGATGAAGGGCGTGGAGTTGGTGCTCTCTCGGCTACTGGGCTTGGCTTTCGTCCAAGAGGCTCCCGATCCCGGCGAAGTCTGGCATCCCTCGGTTCAAAAGTTCGCGCTCCGCGAGGACGAGCGAACCATCGGCATCCTTTACTTGGACCCCTTCCCGCGTGCCGGCAAGAAGGTCCAATCTGCGCAGTTCACCCTGCAGGGGTCAAAGGTGTTGCCAGATGGACAACTTCAAGTCCCGAAGACTTGCCTGGTTTATGCTCTGCCCCCCGGCTCGCAAAGCCTGTCTACGAGCTTTGCGGTCACTTTCATGCACGAGATTGGGCATGCGGTCCACTCGTTGCTCTCCGAGACTCGTTTCCAACACCTGTCCGGAACACGTGGCACGATTGACTTTGTGGCAGCTTGGCTTATTTTCAAGCTCCGGCCCGGGGGATCTTAGCATCTTAGCAGCTCGTTCTGTACTCTTTGTCTCAGGAGTTTCCGTCTCATTTGTTCGAGCACTTCGTGCTGGATCCAGACTGCCTGAGCATGTATGCCTCGCATGCTGGCACAGGCCGGGAGCACAAGAAAGAACGACATCTGCACCCTGATTGAAACCTCACTGAAGGGCGCGCCTTGCAAGGCTCCAAGCTGCCAGAAAACCTGCGGTCTGCGCACCGTTATCGGCCCTTCGGGCATTTCGAGGCGGTCCAGCAGCTGGTTTATGTGGCTTCGCTGAAGTGAAGGTCTTCAGTCTGGCTTTGTCGGCTCGCCGCAGGGCATGCTTAAGGCTTAACCGAGGCGCTGGTGGACCAGGCGTTCTATTCCTTCCAGCCGTCGACATCCTCGGATCTACAGTCGCATCTGCACGGAAGGCCTGGTCCTGAAAAGAAGAGCAGTAGCAGCATGGACAAGCAAAGCAAAGTCGGAGATGGGTCCATTTGAGCACGCTTGACGCTGCGAGGCTTGCGAGCTTCGAGCATGGGCTGGCCACTCGCCTACTTGTTGCGCAGGGTGCAGGCACTCCACAGATTCTCGGATCGCTGCAGGACGGGCCGTGCAACGCGTCGCTGCTAGAGCTGCCGAGAGCTCAGCGAGGGCTATATGTATGAATGTATGCATGCACGTATGTATGTACATATATATATATATATGTATATTTGTATATATATATATATATATATATATTCAGATAAATATTTACATCGATCTATTGATATATATATATATATACACATAGATATACAGGTGTGTATATATATATATATATATATGTATATAGATATAGGTATATAGATATAGGTATATAGATATAGGTATATAGATATATAGGTATATAGATATATAGGTATATAGGTGTATATATATATATATATATGTATATATAGATATGTAAATATACAGACCTATAAGTAGATAGGTATATAGGTACATTATATATATATATATATATATAGATAGATAGATAGAGATATAGGGGCAAGGCCGAGGCTGGGTCCGTCCACGGAGCGCTGACTGCCGAGGCTAGGCCTGTCCACAGCGACGGCACGCTTCGACCACCTGGTCCACTACGGCGGCTCCTACTACTGCTACCTCTTCAATCGAGCCGCTTGGGGCAAGGAGGTACTAGTCGGCAAAGTGGCGATCTAGCATCTTCCGAGGCTCTGTCGGCACATGTCTGGCATCGGAGTTTTCGTCCAGATCCCTTCAATCGCGAGACTGGCGAGCGCTTGCACAGTTCCGAGCTCAGTCCTGCAATCCGCACGTCGGAAGCGCAGAAAGAGCGAGAGAGAGAGAGAGAGAGAGAGAGAGAGAGAGAGAGAAAGAAAGTTGTGCATTTGTCATCCAAGGTTTGCTGAGAGGAGGCCAGGGCGGGGAGTCAGGCATACGCAGGTTTGGACCTGCAGTCCTACGCTTGGAACTCGAAGCACGTTAGGCAGCATGCGCGCTTGAGAACGACGATGTATCCCTGTGTGAGTTCAGTAGTAGGAGTGTGCGAAATCGGATCGATGGCCAGAGCTTTGCTCGGCTGAGGAGATGGAACGGCTTCCAACTGCAGTGCCACAATTGGTAGGGGAGTTGGCAGTATATGTATGAACAAGACTGCATGCTCAAGTCGTGTCATGTCGGAATTGAGCGAGCAATTCACGGCACTTGACAGTTTGACGGGCGTGACAATGCCTGCTCCGCAAATAGAGCAGCAGAGCCCGAAGCAAATCCGATAGCTTCTACAAGCAGTGTCGCAGCTTGAGTGGTGGCGCTGAAAGTCTGCTTTGCAGGTTCTGTGGTGCAGACTTTGGATGTCATTCGGGATCTCTGTCCTGGTGACCCAGCTTATGCTGCACATGAAGTGCCGTTGGATGCGATGATGGCCGAGAGACTTGGACCTTTTGAATTCAAAACCTGATTGCCAGTACAGGCTTTGTTGTTTCCTGAAGTTCGTAGTCCTGCTCTGTGCAGTTGATCTACATGAATTGCTTCCCAGTGCCCTTCGTCCTGAGGTTAACCCGTGCTGCAGTATGATTGCTTGGAAAAAGCAGCCACAGAGACCGTGAGATTTTCGGCGGTTGCTCGTGCGTGCGAGCCCCTTAAACTGCATCGATATTGACGTGTTGCTCAGGACCATCGTGCTGCCGCTGGGTTTGGGAACCTTGTTGCTGAGGCTCTTGCTTTGTTTCCCTTGCGGCTCACCTTGACAGTGTCGATGGTTGGAACTGTCAACTTGTGAGGCTAATGCTGCCCCTGAAAGTGCAATCGGTTTTCCAGGCACCTGCACGGTTAAGTCGCATTGCAAACTTCCTTGCATTTCAACAAGAAGCCGCGCTGCATGACTCGGCTCCCAACGTTTGACTCCCCAGGCAACAATACAACAAGCCTACAATCTAGTTTCAATATAGTGAGTATAGTATGGTTTTGGCCACACCAGTACCACGGCATTTTTAGGGTCCAGGTTTAGGGTGGACTGTCGGAAGTGGATGCAGATCTGACTGGTCCTGCGCCCATGTCGACTGGAGCATGTCGAGCTGCCCGGCTGCTTGCACATGTGCCAGCGGGCACTGTGGGGCACGGGACTTGCTGTCATCGAAAAGGGAGGCTGCTCGAGGCTTAGTAGTCTCTAGAAATGCCGAGCAAGACCACGGACGCTTTCCCAAGCTGTCATGACGCATGGCTTGAGGTAGGCCTGAGCCCGCTGAGCCTGTGGGGCATCTGCTGGGCACCAGAGCTGGGCGATGCCAGGCCCCAGCCGAGAAGCCGTGGACGTGCCAGGGCTGTGCTCACTGCGTTTGCTGGTCAGGCTTCTTTCGGTAGTGGCAGCGGTGATTGTGAGTGGGAGCTGTGCGATCAGCTCTACCCTCTTCATGTTGACAGCTCAGATTCGGCTCACCTGGATGCTACACTGGTCTACAGGTACAATCTAAACATGGATCCAATGTTTGATGTTGGTGTAAGATGAAGGTCCTTGGCGGCTGCCCTCGCTGGTGTCGCCATGGTGCTTGTCTGAGACCTTTGTCAGCGTTTTGCTTCTGTTTCAGATGTGAGCTGCTAATTGCGCGGTTCTCGGCTCAGGCTTGGTGGTTCTGGAGGGCATTGACGGCAGTGAGAAGTGCGAGTGTTTGGGTGACGTGCCAGCAGCGGGCGCACGGGTTGCTCAGAGCTGTGGCACGTGGTGTGCTCCGCAGCAGCACAAGTGGACAATAGCTGGTCAAAAAGGCTCAAGTACAGGCTTCTGTCTCTCCTGAAGTACCGGCACACAGATTGCCCACATTGTTTCTCTCTGTCATCAAACAGCAGACTTTATTCATCCGAAGTCTCGGCAAAGCGTCCTTGAAGGGGTTGTAATCAGGTTGCGAGGGGGTAGGTGAAACTCTGGTTAAGGGGAAAGCTGCAGGGTGTCATGGAGCTGAGGCTTCTCCTGCTTCTGGGATGCTGCTGCTTCATTGGACCGCAGCATGACAGCAGCGGCAACTGCTCCTGCCCCTTCTGCAATGGTAACTTGGCTTCTTGAAGACATCGGCACAATCCGTTCGACGAAATTGGCACGTTACATGTCCACTCTCTGCTCACTCTCTGTCATATGTCATCCTGTCAAGGCATCTGATGGTGCACTGACGATGAAGATGGGCCCGGCTAAGGAGTGAAGGTGCTGCACAGAGTCTCGCAGCGTCTCACAGCGGCAGAAGCTCGCAGATGCAGATCACAGCGCCCCGGTACCTCCCCTCCGGTACCACCGCCTTCTGCAGACCCACTTGGTCCGGGGGTGTGCTCCAGGGCGAAGGAAGGAAAAGAGTGAGAGCCGCTTGGATGGTGGGAGCCCTTCCGAAAGCCGCCTGCACGGGAGGTTCCCATCATCTTCCTTCTCACGGACTGCTGGAGCCTGGGTCTGGTCTTGACCAAGGCACCCTCCCTGCCACGATCGTCCCTTCTGCCTGGTCGCATGCTGCGAGGTGATCTGGCGCCTGGTGCAAAGCGATGTGATACTGCACAGTCTGCATCGGGAGCCGGGCTCTCGCTTCCTTGATTCTGCTCTGGTGTTCCTTGCACATTGGGAGCATGGCTGAGGATCGAGGCTGTGTGGGAGGAGGCTCAAGGCTTCCTCTTACGACTCCGGGACTTGGGGGGCTTCGGATTGGTCTCAAAGCACCAGGCTCTCTGACACACCTCTTCTTCAACTTGCGGGCGCACTGGCGTCTTTGGCGGACCGTCGTGCTTTCGAAGTTGTGTGGCTCGGGAAAGGTATCGTATCAAGACACAGGTGTTGTTTTGAAGGATGTTGGTGTTCCCCATGCTGGAGGTGCGAGGGCTGAGGGCACGATGCAAGCATGACTGTGAGATCTAGATCTTCTTGGTCTGGTGCATGTTGACTCAGAGGGACTGTTTGGTGCAACTGGAACTGACTGCTTGGATTGAGGTGTTTAGCCTCTGCTCCGCTCTGATTCAGGCTGTGGTGTTTCATCTGGTGCTCCCCCGCACGGTCCATCCATGCAGGGGAGAGACATGCGCCCTCATGATAGGGTTTACCCTTGACTGCCTTCTTTGAGGCTGTGCTCACCTTGCTGCAGTTCATGGAGCCCGGTCATGTCCATCACTGAGAGCTAAGTCGTTGACACTGTGAGGCTTGTCGACAGCGTTGAAAGCCGAGGAGTACTTGAAAGCTGCGCTTCTCATGTACTGCTACCACATCGGCCTGACCCTGCGGATAACGTGCGCCTGGATCTGTGAAAGATGCTAAGACTAGGGCAGCTTGGGAATCGCAAATTATCCGGCAGGCTTTCAGCGCTTCCTCGGATGAGACTCTGGCTCGGAGAGGCACCAGCGTCTCGGCATCTCCACAAAGTGCTCTCGGCCTCTCGTCAGGTGCGCCAACAAATTTTTGACAGCAAGTATTTGGCCCCCTCCCCGGCTACTTCGGTATCTGCGCCCTCATCTGCTGCCTTTGCCAAGCTGCTCTGCTCCACTTTGGCCGAGATTTCAACCGAGCTGCAGAATTACCACCGTATCGAAGATCTGTCAGATTCGCAGGACCGACCAGTATGGTACGTGTCGACTTTGTCGTTGTGCAGCAACCTAGCAAGGTTTTCCTCAATGTGGTACAGTCGCGCAGTCTCCTGATTTTGAGTCTCCCCGCTCGCATGAAACATGGGCCTGTGCACCTGATCCGCCGAAGGACGATGCAGCTGGGGACTCCCCTGGCTTGCCTGGCACAAGCTGAGCAAAGAGTGCAGCTGGCCTTGTCAGAGAGCGCAGAGATCCTGATCCACCCCACAGTGACGAAAGAATAAGACCAGCAGACACAACGCAAGCTTTACTGGCCGATACCGGTTGTAGGAGAAGCCTACAGCACGTGGTGGTGGCTTGGTTGGAAGAGATCGCGCATGTCTTCCTGCTTCGGTACAGTTTTCACTGGTAGCCCTGTGAGGACTTTACCAGTTGTAGAACGGTGGTGCTCACCGATTCACCGATAGCCCTTCAGGCTGCACAAAAGGCCGATAAAGGTTCCTGACGACAGCCGCGCTTCTGTGGGTTTTGGACTTGGGCACACTGAGCTGCGGTGGCGGCGAAGGTGTTTCGCAGTGTTTGGCCCGACTCTCCGCGTTCTGGGGGATTCGCTTCTGCGGTATCAAGCCCGGAGCCAGGCAAAGAGCTGAGGGCTGAGGACTCTGATTTCTGTCTTGGCGTCCTTTGGCTCAGATGTGAGATGAGTTTTGGAGGCCGTTTTCGAAGATGGCACCGAAGAGGTCGAAGTCAGTGGAGCCGGCAAAGCAGCCGCCGAAGAGGTCGAAGTCGCAAGAGCCGCCGAAGAGGTCAAAATCGCAGGAGCCATCTCGGCGTCAGCCCAGCCCTGCGCCACAACGCTCAAAGCTCGAATCGAAAGGCCTGGTGGGCGAAGGGGCACGGAAAGGCGTGCAGTGCTGAAGTGCTGAAGTCATGGACGCCAGGAGCCAAGCCGGGGCCGGCCAAGCCCGTTCCAAAGGCGAAAGCTGCGCCAAAGGCCACCGCGAGGCTTCCGCGCGCGCTTGGCCCGAGCTTGGGCTCATCTGCCGGTCTTTGAGTCGCCAGCTGGCAGGCCTGCAGCAAACCCCAAGGGCAAGCTGGAAGAGATCTTGGAAAAGGTGCCTTGAGGGACCAGCGATCGAGCCATGAGTCACATGAGTCATAGCTGAATGCTCACCAAGTGACAGGCGCGATCCGATACCCACAAGCGGTCTGCCGACGTCGAGGCCGGGAATCCGAGCGAATTCTGTCGTCATGTGCAGCTCAGCCTCGGCTCCTTGCGGTTTGCAGGTGCGTCTCCGTGAAGCGTTGGTCCGAAAAGAGGCCCGCGGTCAAACGAGCTCAAATGTTGAGGTACGAAGGTCTATCGGCCGTGCTTGAGGGTTTTCTGTGGAGGGGCTATAGGGCGCAAAAAGAAGAGACCGCCGGCGCTTGGGCAGGCGCAGCTGGAGCTGGCCATGCAGAAGGCGCCGGTGCAGCCGAGCTCACATGAAAAGCTACTTTTCGGGTTTTTTTGGTGGAAGCAGCCTTGGGCCCTGGGCGTGTGTGACGCAGCAGTGTCCCGAGGGTCCCTTTGCAGGGGCTTCTAGAGCAAAGCGCCCGTGGGACAAATTCCCTGCCCCCTTCAGGCGGGAGACATGGAACAGAAGGCCGTTCTCGAGCAGAGAAGAGCAGAGGAGGCTCCGTAGCCGAACCTTGTTTCACTGCGGCTGTGCCATGCAAGCTGAGGCCGTCAGAAGGGCAGCCTTTGCTGAGGGACAAGCGGAGGACGTCCCAGTGTTTTCCGTGCTTTTCCCGGTAGCTGGGTCTCGAGCGAGGAACTCCGGCAGCGTGCTTCGCGAGTCGAGGCGCGCAGCACGGCAGCTTCAGCGCGCAAGATGATCCTGTCGAACTGCGACATCTGTCCTACCGGGCAAGAGTGCAAGCAGGAGCTGCAGCTGGAAATGGCACACAAGGAGGCGCGAGCAGCAGATGCAGAAGCCAGGGCAGAGGCTGGTTGCAAGTCGTCGCGGTCACCCAGTGCGGTACGGAAAGTTCGCGCTGTTTCGAAGGTCTTGGGTCAGATGCAAGAGAAGTTTCAGCGCACTTTGCCCGACATGGTGCTTCGGATGCAAGAAATGTGCTGAATGTTCTGTAAGCTTCGTAAACCCTGCATGAATGGGTAGGCGGTTTGGGGTGTTGATCGGTGACGACGTGACGACGGTCTTAAGCTTTTAGTCGGTACTGAATGCAGGATGTTAAGCTACGGTCGTAGTCGTGCCCCACGTGATCAAGCCGTGTCACATGCTGAGGTCAAATCCATTGCGGAGGGCATGGTACTCTGCCGCGGTGCCCGCCCCACATTGGTCTTCATATTCCTGCTGCGTGCTACTTGTAACTGAGTCCCAGCAGGTCGGCGTGATTCATCTCTGTGCGACTCTGCTGGTATATCCGGCTTCCGCGGAGTGGCGGCAAAGCTGGAATTGGAGGAGCTCTTCTTTGTTCTCATCAGCGCATGTGGCTTAAAGGCTTAAACCTCGCAAGGACTCTCCAGGCTCTCTGAAATCAAACCCCGCCGCAATCCCTCTGCTCGATGCGGAGGCCTGGATGCTGAGAATCGTTGCGGCCCATTGGATCGTCGTTTGAACGTCCTGAAACATCTTGAAACCTGAAGGAGGGCAAGGACAGTGATGGTAAGTTGAAGACGACGGTTCTGGCTCCGGATGATGCTGCATCCGAGCTGCTGAAGCACAGCCCTTAATTGAAGCGGCGTGCTGCTGTTCTCTCTGCCTCGGGTTTGTATGTGTGTGTGTGTGTGTGGGTTGTTTTTTGCTGTTGTGAGGCGCCTTTTGGGATTGTCTTTAGCATCATCGACCAGATGTTGCATGTCTTCCATGTCCGTTGCTCCCAAGCGGAAGGTGACGTGTGTCACAGTGATATGTCCTCAGGCGTTACTGTCGGCAGCAGACAAGTCAGCGAAAGCGACAGGACACATCAAACTACTCTGGAAAAGACTGGCAGAAGGAAGCCCCCCAGAAGGTATGAGGTGCTTTCACAACCTGGGGGCAGGGCAATCTCGAGGAGGGAGCTGCAAAAGCGAGGAATCCACAGTTTGTTTTTGAGAGGCACGGCTTCTGAGATCCAGTCTGGCATCTCAGGGTCACAATGTCCAACCCTTCGGATGCTTGTAGGACCAATCTGGTTTCAACATGTTTCCATGGTGTAGCTAACATCGTGTCGGACATGCCCCATGCAGATGATTTTGGAGTTCTTCGCTACAGCGACTGCAAGTTGAAACTTGATTTTGCAAGGTTCTATGGACAGAACGACGGCGCGCGTCCTGCGCCAAGATGAGACTGAGAGCGAGTGAGTGTAGATGGCGAGTGCGCATGACCTACTGCGCCGTGTATGCCCTTCGAAGGCGCGACGGCTTGTTTTCGCATGGCTTGGCTCAAATTGGCTTCCACTGCACTGAAGCAAAACAGCCCAGGACAACCAATCAGCTTCCCAAAGCATCCATCGAGCAATACCGAGCCTGCTGAAGCAGACATACCCAAAATGAGAAATGAGACACGGTGCACCACTTGGCCCAGTGAAGGATGATCGTGCTATGGATGCAGATTCTGCGCCCCAGAGACGATTCACGGTGGCTTGGGCTGAAGTAGGAGTGATGCATGTCTTCCTGCTGGCTCGTGCGCAGTTTTGAAAAGGCAGCAATCACCGAGTACGAGGACGTAGGCCCCTTGGCCCCAAAGATCATGCCCGCCCGTTCCGAAAGCAGAGTCCTTGTTGTTGGCAACCGAGGAGGGCACGTGGAGTATTGCTTGAAAGTGACACATTGCAGTGGAATTTCTTGGACGACCTGGCGGCGATTTTCCGACTTCCATCATGCTCATGAGGCTCTGGAATTGAGAAATCTTTGTTTTGGGCTTCTAGAGGTTTGTGGGCTTGTGTTATGATTCAGAATTTCTTAGGTTACAAGCACTGAATCCTTTTCCCTATAAGTTACGACCAACGAGCCAGGAAGCAAAACGCAGCAACTGTCCCATAGATTCCTGCAGCATGAGCTCGGGCGAAACGAGGGCCGAAGGCCCCAGGCTGGCCCAGGCTCGGAATGGAAACTCTGCAATCCGATGTAGGGGCCATGTGGCTTGCTCACGATAGACTGTCAGCAAGGTCTGAAATGCAGAGGATCAAGGCTGCGTGCTCTAAGCCGTGGTTTTGACCTTAACGGTGGTGATGCTTTGCACAGCTTCGATTTTGATTGTTTCGCTAACATTGCGTTGTGAATCTCGGGTGTCAGCATGCTGCGGCAGCACAACTGTTAGCACATCGCCTTGCATGTAACTTTCACAAATCCGAGGCGGTGTCTTTTGCGGTCGTATCGGGCTGGTGCAGAGCCATGGGCGGTGCGCAGAAATCCCTGTGCTCTTGCTGGGAGCGCCGCCTCGACCACCCCCTCCCCGCCAGCACACACAAACGAGCCCGTCCAGAGCGAGGCGGCTACAGCTGACGAAGGCGAAGACGACGAGGAGGTGGAGTTCGAGCTTGGCGCACACAAGACCTTCCTCAGCTATCGCATAAAAAATCCCGCAACACCAACAGAAGCCGTAGCATGCCCAAAAGCATGCGGCCTTGCCGGGATACGAAGAGAGTCAATCTTGCGGCGGCGGCTGTCGACGTGAAGGAGAAAGTGGGCGGCCCGGACAGCTCTGTGCGCTTCCCCCGTTGGATTCGGCCTTCGAGCTTTTCCTAACTTTGGAGATCGTGGCGAGTGATCGGACAGCCGGCGCGTCAGAAAATGCCAGCAGTGCCTGAGGTGGATCGTTGCTGCGCAGATTTTTCGTGCCGAAACTGTTGCCGGTTGGACAATAACAATTGGTGGTTGTTATTGTCCAACCGGCAACACTTTCGGCACGAAAAATCTGCGCAGCAACGATTCACCTCAGGCACTGCTGGGGCAGGCTGACTTCAGATCCTCCCCACGCTGCTAGAGCGTGCGGCCATGGCTTGGCGATGAGACTCAAACAATGCTGGTGGGAAATGCATGGCTGCAGACCGCCAGCGCTTGTTCCCGGTGTATTCTACTGCTTCTGCAGCTGTGACATAGCATTGTCTTTATGTAGCAATCTCACTTGTGCATCACAGTAATTCCCACCTGCATCTGTTTCAGCGGCAACGTGGATTGCGCCGGAACCCCGGACCAGTCCCATTCAAACCGATATGGAAACTAAAGATGTGGTTTGGCTGTTGGCTTGCGAAAAGGGGTTGCTGAATGTTGCCGGCTCTGCAAGATCCGCAGGCTTTTCACAGGTTGTCAACTACGGTGAGTTGCAGAGGGCGGCATCGCACCCCAGGAGGATATGTGCATCTCGTCCTGCCGATCGGCTATTTGCTCCATAGCCGTGGGGGCCCCTTACAAGGTGCGGTGACGAGGTGGTTGGACAGAAGCATGACCTTGCTCTTGTGTCTTTACATGTTGTGGGCCATTGGTATATCGAAATGTATCTGCCAGCATGTTGAAGATGCTCCTGGAAGCGATTGCTATATTAGGGCCGAGTACAGTACGAAAGTCCTTTTGGTGCCCAAGACAGCCGGCTGGTCCCTTGTGGTGGATCTCATGGGCTGATGGCAAGCACGAGTTCGCATGATGCTTTTTGCGCAGACTCTACAGGCCACTCTCCGATTCTACTGGCAGAAGGAACGCGAGCAAGAGATGGAAGGAAAAATCGTGTGGCATGACTTGCGTGGCGCTCACCTCGGGGCCAACCACAGCAGGCTTTAAGCTGCTGGAACACAGAGACAGCAAACAAACAAAAAAAACTCAGACACATAGCCGAAGGAACATGAATCATGCACGGAAAAGTCCAGGCAACACATTTGGGTATCGAGGTGAGGACGAAGCATTAATCGCTAAGGACGCGTTGGTGTCATGAGAAGGTGCAGCAGATAGTTATGATGATGGTTTCTTGTGGTTGATGACGATTCATCATGGCGATGGCTGGTGGTCATCATGTTGTGTCGGGTACGGAAATTTTTTAGTTTCATATAATTTGTAGGCTGATAGATATCCGAGGTTTGTCAAATGAGGGGTTTTAGACTCCAGTTTTTACAGCTTTTGGGATATTCATGGTTGGCCTAGCCCTAGCGCTGCGCAGACTTCCAGTCTTGCGGTCTAAGGATCAGTTCCTTGATCATAGAATGCTGAGGTATACATATGTGTGTGTAATTCAGTTGATGAGCTTGTCTGCGTGTTTAGTCCTGTGGGCTGCGATCCTGACAGGAGCTGTGCTCTCTTGTGGATGCTAGAGACTTGCCTCCCGGTCCTGAGAGATCTTGGCTTCCGGCTTTCACGCAGTCGCTTTCGGTGGAGTTCTGTGAGCAGCGGGAGCAGGAACTGAGCAGATATCTGCAGCGCCTCGTCGGCAGTGTTTGAAGCTTAAAGTTTCCGGGTTCCGGTTAAGGGACCCAAGAACGCGCACTTTTTCCTTGCGGGTTTTTCGCTTGTCTGAGGCGGCTGTTGGGCCACAGCGCCGCGGCACCTGCGCCGCTGCGGAATTTGTTAGGGTTGAGGCGCCCGGACACTCCCGGTAGCCTGCGGGTGGTGCCCAAAGGGGGTGTCTTGGAGTTGGAGGTGAAACCCCCGGAGGCGCAGACTTTTCCTGACGACTGTCATCAGAGATCCTCGAAGATTTCGCAGCTCGGGGGTCCGGTAGATGGCTACTACATCGAGGTGGTGAACCTCGACTCTGGGAGCAAACACCGGTTGGCACGAGACGTCGGGGCTTCAGGCACTCTGCCTCAGAAAGCACAGGTGGGCCATCTGGACAGTGGAAGGCACCTTTTTATCGTGGCCGCTTACAACGGCGCCGGCTGCTCTGGCCAAGTTTCAATAACTGTTGATCCTGCCCTTGCGTTTGCAAGCGCACAGCGGGCGCCTCCTTTCAGAAGCGGACCGGGCATGGGCCAATCAGAGCCCGAGCCACGGCAGGCTCCTGCCCCCCTCCCTGCCCAGAACGCCTCGAGGCAGGGAGGCTACGTCAGGCACACGGGTTCCCAGCCCCCCGTCCCCAGAGAAACGTGCCTGCCCCCTGCACCTACTCTTGGGCCCTCCGCGGGGCCCTCCGGGCGACCGACTCCGGGGCAGCTGCCAGGTTCTAAGCTTCTCCTGTTTTCTTTTCTTTCCAGTGCCGTAGCCAGCTGTAGCTAGCAGGCCGGCCAGCCGGATCCTGACAGATCGTGAGAAAACCTGCGCCGTGCGAACCACGGCAGACGCTCGGACTCGACTCAGACGCTTCGGCGCTTCGGATTTTTCTTGCGAAGTCCAACGAGACCTCAGGATGTACACAGGAAGAGTCCCGGGCCTGAAGAGGACGAGGACTTGATGTGCGTGGTTTGCCTGGCCTCGCCGCAACGAGGCTGCGTTCTGGCTTCTGCCTTCTCTTCCATTTCTTGATTCAATTTCTTGTTGTGCCTTGAAACGCCCTACCTCCAGCACGGCTGCCAAGGAAAACCCACGCTTTCGTCCCCTGCGGTCACCGTGCCCTTGCCGGCAAGTTGAATGTCTGCTAGCCCAGCTAGGCTTCGTGATTGGTACAGCGTCTTGCATCGACCACGTTCGAGAGCGGGGGTGTTTGGATAGCACATTGACGTTGCAGTGGCGACAGCCATGCTTGGAAGCTTGCTGACTGAGGATGCGTTTGTGGCCCGTGCGCCAAAGAGCTTTGTCCTGATGACAGAGGAACTTGCCCAGTTTGTCGAGCAGAGCCTCAGTTTGAGTTAGTCCAGGTGTCACAGTGAATGTTCATGAAGTGTGGCGGGAGTCTGCGATGTAATTCCCTTCTTAACTTGTTCGCAACTGCATGAGAAGGTACATCCAAGCCGCACCGTTGCTTGTAGGCCGAACAAACCTGAGACTCTGGGGTTTCTGTAAGTGTCAAGAGATCGGAAGGCAAAAGTGCGGAGAAGAGCTTTGCTCCACAACCCAGTGCCTGAGTGCTCTTGTGCCAGCAGAACCCAAAGCAGCATGTCACGACAGTTTTGTGCATGGCTGCCCCTCCTTACCGCTGCATACCACCGGGTCGCGTGTCGTGGTGGGGTTACACAGGGAAGCACGGTTGTTGCAGCCTTGAGCTTCTGGCCCTGTTGGCGAAGGAAGCTCAACACGTCATTCACATATTCACTTGAGCCAGCCTGGCCTTCTGACCCCACACTGTACAGGGGAGTTTGATGCCTCTCGGAGGTAGGTGAAAATGCTGGAAGGCGGCAAGCTCTGGCTCAGGGCATAACTTGTGCGTTGAGAAAAAGCGGCGTGCCGGCACCTGTGTTTTGCAAAGAAGCTGCTGCAACCTAGGCTTCTCCTCGCGTCATCTTGCGTCATCTTGCGTCTAAGGCCCTGCGGACAGCACTCAGGAGCGCCGGCTCCCAAAGGCCAGAAGTGGAAGCGTCGGCTCAAGGGTCCAATGAGAGAGCTTGAGCTACGCCAGGCTGCCGCGCGGCTGACCAATGCATTCAAGCTCGTTGGGAGCTTGGAGCTGGAGAGGGTGAGCGGGTGAGCGGGTGATCTAAGCGCATCCAAGCGCCACAACGCGGTGGAAGCCGTCTTTCTTGTATCTACTCTGACGAGGCTGTTGCCGGGGCAGGTGCCACGAAGAAGTGATCCGATCCGCTTCCGAGCGAGGCAGGTTGGCCAGGATGTCAGGGGTTGCAGCCTCCTGATCTTGTCTGTGCCAGTCTGCAGGGAGGGCTGCGCGGCAGATCCAGTCTGCCCGGAGTCACGACGGGAAGTGACTCTGCTTTGTCAGCATGATGGGGGCACTTGCATTTTCTGACAGCTCATTTCGCTTGATGGCGAGTTTGAGTGCCAGAAGAATGCGCGCAGTATCAAATTCGTTCGCATACCAGTGCTGCAAAGAAGCAGCTCGTGCAACAATGCCAAGTGTGTCGGCAGCATTGCATACACCTGTGCATATGCTGTGCATGATGCTTCAGCGTCTCGCGAGCAAGACGCTACTGTATCTCAGCATCTGGAGTCCTCGACATCGACACGTACAGTTTCAGAGGTGCTCTTGGAATTCGTCGCCCCATCTGCGGAAGTGAGGGCTTAAAGCAAAATGTGGGCCCAGCTTCGTGCGCCACATCCTTGTCCTTCTCGACTCATGCACATGGCATCATTCGGTCGCTGCAGCCCTGACACGCCAGGGTCGTGATTAGCACCGACATGGTTGGACAACGTCCCCAAACCCTGATTTCTCAAACCCCTCATGCGGAGCCACTTTCGGGACCTAGAGGTACATTTGCCCAAACCCCGGCTTGCGACAAGCCCATCAAGCAAGTCAACCCAGCCTTCCTGGTTCCAAGAGTTGGAGACATGCTGCTTTCCTGAGCATATGGATCAGCCGGAGACCTGGGACACTTGCTTCGAAGTGCGCTCCCAGATCCATTTCAGCAGCAGGCTCAAGCGCTTCAACCAATGGTTGAAGGAGCACTCGGCAAAGCAGGCCGATTTCCAGCACGTTCGGACTGAGTCTTTTGCAGCTTTACTCTGCCAGGAAAGTTCCCCGGCTGAGAAAACAGAAGATGATCCGATTCCTTTGCAAGAAGAGGATGCGAGCATGTGCACCCAGGGATGGGACATGCTTCTTAGGTGCAGTGAGAGTGAGGCTACACACAGATGCGTACGGCAAGCCGTTGCGGGCCGGCCGAAAGGGTATCGTTGTCTAGCCCAAAGGTCCAAGAAAATCTCAGCTTGGAAGTAGATAACCAAGTCAGCTACTAACACAGGGTCGGTTGATATCCAGCCGGATGTGCTCGGAGCCCTCTGCACTTGACACCTCAGAGCGCCCCACGCTCCACATATCCGCCCAAATCATGGTCCTGAACCCTCAACACGGAGCCACTGTCCGAGCGAAGAACCATGGACTCTAAGCCCTCAAACCCCTAAAACCCCAAACCCTCCATAGGTCCACTTGACCGTAAGCTTGATGCATAGAATGATTGTTAAGCCAGACCTTGTTACAGTACGGCATGATTACACCTTGTCATGAGTCTAAGCTTGAAGTTGAAACTTGGAGAGATTTATCCTCTCGACTGACAGGAGCAGGACGATGAGATTGGGAACCTGTTGCAGCAGTACGGTGTGCTGCTGGAGTATGAGAGAACGCAGGACTTCAGCGGAGTGTCTACAGATTTCAAAGCCTTCGTGTTCTCGATAAAATCCAAGAGGTTGAGCAGCTACCAGCCGTTATAATTGTTGGTGCCAGAAATTTATAACATGTGCCGGTCGGCGTTCTGCGTGATATAGCTCTGTGTGCGAGCTTGGCAGCTGTGCCTGCTGAGTGCTGGAGGTGAGAGACAAGAGGACGGTGCAGCGGCAACAGTAAAGATACTACGACACCGCCATGCAATGACCATATAGCATATGACCTTATGCATCAGGAAAGCAGACCACACCCACAGGCGCATCATTGCTATGTCCACGTTTTAGGCAACCATCGGCGAACGGTTATCCAAAAACACCCGAGCCCGTTGTGACTGTCTTCGACGCGCGCATGTGCCCCTGACGGTGAGTCCGCGCCATGACCTGGACACCTTGAGATTGCGGTGGGCCAGCTCACAACAGTCGCCACGTGCGTCCGACCACAGCAACCTGTGGTGACCACATGAGGACAGCGGGGCCTCGCATCGGAAGTCTTTGCAGCAAGTGCAGTTTGACCACACGTGCCTGAATGCATGTCTGGACTCCCTGATGCGGCAGCCGACAGGCTTGTAGATAGGGCACACGTGATTGTTGTGATGTGGTTGGAAGCCAGCAGATCAGTCTGAACCGTCAGTACAATGTAGCATCTTAGGCAGGCCCTGTTGTAGTCATTGTAGTGTTTGTTCAGCATCGCTTGGACAATGGATTCTTCCAGCGTGTCGCGCCGTCCAGCTTGTCCTTCGAAGGCGTTCAACCTGCAATCCAGGGGTGCGAGCTTGGACACCACAGCCGCAGGGAGCGTTCAGTGGAGCTCCTACAGCTCAAGTTCGGCAAGCTGTGCTGGGCATGCATCGCCTGTGCTTGACACATCCTCTACATTAATATATCTCGATTGGGATGACACTCTGTTTCCGTCCACCGAGATTTTTGACCGATGGGGGTTGCCACACCAATGGGACTGCGAGGGTCTTACCGCGAAGCAAGAGCAGCTACTGTACGCCTGGGGCGAGTCTTTGCAACGATTCCTGAAAGCTTGCATGGAATACTCCGGATCCTGCGTCATTGTGACCAACGCACAAAGCCGTTGGGTTGAGAACTGCTTGAGACGATTCGCACCGGAGCTTGTCTCTCTCTTTGCCAGCCCAGGGGGACCTACGGTTTTGTATGCCAAGGAAGTTCTGAGAGCCTTGCGCTTACGCAAGAGGGTCAGGCACCAGGATGACAGTGTGATCCCTGCGAAGCACGTCGATGCCTACTGGGACGACGAGGATACTCAACGCTTCAAGTTCGTGGAGATGTCGGCAGCAAAGTTCCATGCTATGAAGCAAGAATACCTTGATTTCTTCAGTGGACGTGAAGGGCACTCTCGTCGCAACATCATCAACTTTGGTGACATGGAGTATGAGCACGAAGCTGTGAAAGAGCTGGGGATGCGCATGTCCGAACGAAGTCCGGAACCAACCGTCAAATCATTGCTTCTGCCAGAAGTTCAGACCTGAGTAATACAGGGGCCTTAATGATTAGAACGGGGTTTTGGGGGTTCCCTATTGTAATCATAGTCAATCATAGTAGAATATACCACCCCCCCGAACCCTAGTCTCATTATTAAGGCCCCTATATTGTCTGTGTACTTCGTGCATCCTTGCGACCCGGATGATGCGAAGCTCGGAGAGCTTGTTGCTTCCCCGAGGCGCCGAAGATCAGCGAGTTGACCGTTCGCCTGGAATTGCTCCGCTTGCTTCTGTCCCGGCCCTACTTGGAGGTATTGTTATGCTTATGACTACTGTAGGGGTTCCTCAAGGTTTGGGGTTTAGGGTTCTTTAGGGTTTAGGTTTAGGGCTTACTTCTTGCGTCAGCGGTGTGCAGCGATGCGCTGCTCGTAGCACCCTGGATACTGAGGCCCGCTATCGTCAGTCGCAGCAGCGACATCGATCTCGACTTGAAGGACGCTGACCGGGGCCTGGCCAGGGCAGCCCCTGAGGGAGGAAGAAGCGCTGTTTGCTGTAGGACTCGCCTGTTCCCATGAAGCTGCTGGCAAAGGCAGGTGCTGGTGTGCTCCTTCTGGCTTTGTGAAGTTTGTGTATGCATGTGAAAGGCCCTGAAGCTTCCGGAACTTGCAGAAGTGGATTTGCATCATGCGTGGGGTGACGGTCCACCACCTTCCGCCGAAGAGGCGGGAGCATTCTTGCCCCGGCATGCGCGGCCATGTCTGCACCAAAGCATCAGGGAGCCAAGTCAGCGATAGTGCAGGTGGCGAACAGCCTTGTGGAGGTGGCCATGGCGCTGCAAACTTCGTCTGCATGACACAGGCTCAAGCCTAGCTTTGAGGGGTCCGGTCTGGAGGCATGTGGAATGCTCGGTTTGCTTGCAACGGCGCAGTTGATGTCAGAAGTTGTAGCCACTTTGGACCCAGAGTAGCATTGCATTGCTTATATTGCTTGTTGAGATGTAAGACCCATGATCCCCTAGATCCCCTAGATCCAGGTGTGTATGATCATGTGATGAATTTATTTTTTGGTCTCGGCCAGGTCAAAGAAGGTCTGAAGAGCAGCGCCGATGTTAGGAGTTTCACCAGTAGAATCAGAAGAAATAGGGCTCCTGCAAGCTTGAGCTGAGCCAAAGGTGTTTCTGCAAATTGCCCTGCGGCCACCCTTCCCTGGTGTAGGCTTCGGAGTAGGCTTGGAAGCAGGGGATACATCTGAAGGAGGAGGTGGTCCGGGACACCGTTGAAACGGAACTGCTCAAATGGGGAGCCGAAGCCTTCCAGAAGTTCCGGAAGCAGACGGCGGTCGCTTTGCTGCAATCTTCCAGAGTTCCGAGAGTTGCACCAGCGGGCTCTTTGGAAGCGTCGCGTTCGCTGCAGCCCCTTTGAAAGAGAAGGTGAGTAAGACAGCCTGGAAGGCCTCGGGGCCTGCTCTGAATTCATGTCCTGGCCTATCTTCTTTGCTTCTCTGGGCTTGCAGGGCTGGCTACCCGTAAGCCTTGGCTACGACAATGGCGCTCCCCACTCGCGGTTGCCGCCTCTGGGCTGGTCCAGTTGGGTGGGTCTCGGTCGCCAGTGGCCGGGCCCAGAGGCACAGGCGCCAGAGTTCGACTTCTGTGACGAAGCGAGCGTGAAGCTTTCCGTCGACGCCTTTCATCAGGCACTGGGGCTCATGATCAGAAGCTAGACCAGAAACGGGCGAATGCCGATTTCCCGAGCCCTGAGGTTGGCCTTTATGATGCCGGCTATCGCCACTTTCATTTGGATGACTGCTGGGCGGATCACGAGAGAAATGCTTCGGGATTCTTGCAAGCAGACAGGAAGCACTTTCCCAATGGCATGCAGCCGATCGTAGACTACGCCCACTCCAAGGGCCTCACATTTGGACTCTACACCTGCGCTGGGACCTACACCTGCGTCGATCGGCGACCCGGCTCCAAGGGACATTTCACCCAGGATGCAGCGGTTTTTGCAGAATGGGGAGTGGATGTGGTGAAGATGGACTGGTGTTTCACGGAGGGAATGGAGCCTGAGCCGACCTACACGGCCTTCTCGAACGCTTTGAATGCCACAGGCCGGCGGATCCACTTTAACATGTGCGAATGGGGGAAGGAGAATCCCTGGACCTGGGGCCCTCAAGTCGCCCAGTCCTGGAGGGCCACGGGCGATCACGTCCCTCTCTGGTCGGACACAAAGAAGGTCATCGAAGAGAGGACGAAGATCCCTGAAGAGTACTCCGGCCGCCCCTTTGCCTGGAATGACATGGACATGCTGGAGACCGGGAACTACCGCCAGGCCGCCCATGCCAATGGGAAGACCGGGAATATGACGAAAGTCGAGTACCGAACCGAGGTCTCCATGTGGGCCATCCTGGCCTCACCGCTGATCGTTACGACTCCTCTCTTGAACTGCTCGAAGACAGATCAGATCTTAGGGAACTTCACATCAGGCAGCTGCAGACCCTCCATCACTCCCTTGCAGAGGGAGCTCCTTCTGAACAAAGAGGTCCTTTCAGTGAACCAGGCTGATACCGCTCCAGGTCGGCTTGTGAAAGACTTCGGTACGTGGAAAATTTACAGCAGACTAATGGGCGATTTATCCATGGCCGTCGCTTTTTACAATCCGTCCGATGCCAAAGTCTTTGCCAGTGTGGCGGCTCGGCATCGCTTCTGAGGTTACCGAGAGAGTTTCACTAACTTACATAAGGTCCAGCTGAGGCGATGCACTGGCAGCATATAGCTACTACAAGCTAGTAGCATAAGGCCCCAGACATAACATGGATTTGCAAAGGAGTTTTCATCGCTGGGATGGCCCGAGGGCTCTACAGCAAGCGTGCGAGACCTCTGGGCACAGACGCAGTTGCTGGACACGTTTGAGCGCTTCCCGGCCGTGGGTAGTGTCGGCATCGAAGCGCACGAGACTCTCCTGCCGGGGCCTTGAAGCACCGCGCAATGCTTGCTAGGAAAGCTCCAAAGAAAGTACCTACGGCTAATGCACGACGGTCTCTCTTCAATTCGAGGTTGCGATTCGGCCGAGTGTCGGAGCTGGTCGTATGAAGATTGGAGTGCCGCCAATACGAGCTGAGATTTGCTGCCCGTTTGGGGCGCCTCCTCTGCGGCCTCAGGCAAGACTGAGCAGGCCACGCTTAAGCCGTGCCTGCAGACAAAAGAAATCTGCACGCAAGTGCGTCGCTTCGGTCTTGATTTGAATGGTTAATATTAACAACATCTTTTTGTAACTTTGTGGATGCAGCCTACCCCACATCGTCTTCAGACCAGTGATGCCAGCTCAGAGCTCACCCCATGCCCATGACCTTCCTCTTGCTGTCAGCTGCAGCTTCGGTGGCCTTAGCCGCCAAACATAATATAGGCGCCTAGATAATTACCAATACTATTTTCGGGGCTCCTTATTATAATTCTAGCACGCTATACCCCAAAACCCTATTCCAATTATTAAGGCCCCTACGTTACTTCTTAAATCTTTACCAAGCCAGAAGTTACCAGCGAATTCAGAGCTCCACGCATGACTTCCCCGAACCCCAACCTGATGCGAACTCGAAGAATTGCAGCCCAAGTCCCAAAGTAACGCCTGAAGCCCTAATGCCGACCTCGGGGTCTCTATTCCTAACCCTACCACACTACTGATCACTAGTAGCAAGAGCCAGCAATAGTAGTAAGCGCGTTTCAGAGCGCTGCGCAGCAGACCTTTGAAAGGTGTCCAACCTCGACTTTGGTGTTCTGGCCGGTTTGGGGAGGATTCGGAAGTGGTCAGTGTCTGCAAAGAAGGCACTACCTGTAGCGTTACAAAAAACGCAGTTTTCTTGCACCTCCTCTACTCCGGATGATAGGGCCCTCGTCAGGGTAGAAGCACAACTGCCGCCACAGTAGATCTGCAGTCGATGGGAGTGAGCCCAGGTGACATCAAGGAGGTGGTTTTCGTCATCTCCTTTTCGAAGCACAGGTTCTATGAACGCAGTGGGCGCTGCAAGCACGTGCCGGCATGGCACGCCGGTCATCAATGGTTCGTCGCGGCCGGCAGCGTTCGGCTTCATCCGGGGTGCCGCGACCGTCGCGGCACCCTTGACACAGCTGCACGCTGCAGTGCACCATGCCGCTTCGTCAAGGTAGCTTCGTCGAGACGGAGCGATTTCGCTATTTCTATTCAGCTCCGCAGGAAAAACCATCAGTGGCATTCAAAAGTCCAAGCTGAGTGCAGGAAGTGGGCAGGTGCAAACGGAAGCAGGAGCAAGAAAAGGCAAAAGGTGTCAAATGCCCCGGGTGCAGCAGTCTAACCTGCACAGACGGCCAAGTTCCTGCAAAATCATGGTCACGAAGATCCAGCAAATGGGAAGCACTGGGTCTCGCGAGTGGTGACAAAGATGCATGGTTTCCGCAGCTGAAGCCCGGGAGTAGGTGCTCCACCTGCCGCAGGGGCACATGCTCTGCCAAACTGCAAAGGCCCTTGCTGGCGGCAAGTACGGCAGAGCCACACTTGCCTTTGAATGAATGTTGAAAGGCAAGTGCGGCTCTGCGCAGCAAGTTTCCGTCGTGCTTGCCACATGCGACGGCTTTTGCAGTTCAAGCCTGCTCGGAAGAAGCCAAGAAGCGATCTTCGGCATTGTTTTGAGTGCGATGTGGCAAATGCAAAGGGGAATGCACCCTTTCCCTGCTCCAGCAAAGGCGGAGCGAAAGTTTCGCTCGGAATGTGTCAGAAAAGGCTTCGTTCGCTCGAGCCGGTCTGCATCTTTAGCCGGTGTGTTACATAATGCAGAGCCGGGCCCCGGCAAGTGTGTGGAACGCGAGAGCAGCCATGGCGCTCCATCTCGCCGCAAAAAATGGAGATCCCACAGAAAGCGGAGTGAAGTGACCAGCCAATAATATCTTTGGAGAACCCCGTCGCATTGTCAGCAGGAAGGCCGCCGGCAGCCGCAGCCGCTGTCATGAGTTGGCAGGAGGGCACTAGGCAAGGCGGGTAGGCCGTATGCGTCAGGAGGCCCTTTAGGCAAGGCGACGGTTGCTTGAAGCTTTCGTGTGTCTTTTTCAGGCTACTGGTAGCAGATGCTCAACACAAGCACACAAGCAGACTTGTACAGCAACTTCCCCGAGCCATGGCACCCGCTGCCAAGCGGCCTGCTGCCAATGTCGCGGCACCTGAAGCCAAGAAGCCTTGCGTGCTAGAGCAGGGCTGTGAGGGCGCGGAGGTGAATACAGCCACCCTGCAAGACACGTTTCCTGGCTCTTCAAACGTAAAAGCCAGTCCAGTGTTATTGCTGCACCCTCTTTTGCCCTCTTCCCTGCAAGTGCTCAGGCTCGGTTGCCTGAGGTCCGCCTCGGATTTCGCGGGGTCGGGGTGGGTCTCAGGCGGTTCCTAGTGAAAGGCAAGGCATCCCTGCGAAGAGGTCGGGGCTGAAAGCGGAGGGGACCTACGCTGCTCAAGTCGCGGTCCTGCAAAAGGCCGCTGGCGATCTCATGAACCACTGGGATCTCTTGACACTTCGACTGAAGTGTTTGTGCTTGCCAAGGCCAGGGCATGCTGTTGTGACTTTTCAGTCAGCTGAGACTCGAGGATTGCTGAGAAGCGCTTCCGTATCGCGGAGCTCGAAGCATATGTCCACTCACCCCATCACGCTGATCCCTATGCGCATGGCGACGAAGGGTAGCCGGGCGTCGGAATTGGATTTTGAGTCGGGGCGATTGCCTGGAGACCTGCTGTGAAACCTAGGCAGGCGAGCTGCGGTGTGTGGTACTTTCACAAGAAGGGCGGAAGCTACAAAAGTGGCAGCTTCAAGGGCATGGACCTGGCTTGTGGCGACAAAGATGGCAATGTCTATGCTGGCCTCCTGCTGCGTTCCGTGGCGGATGCAGCCGGCAAGCTCACCGAGGGCCCCTGCCTAGTCGTTGACAAAATCCTGGAACTGAATGGTTTCTTGGAAGGGTGTTTAGGGTTTAGGGAGTTTAGGGTTTAGGGTGGATCGGGCCGTTCTTTGGACATGTTGATGCGCAAGAGAGTTGACGGGCATGAGACACCAATCATTTCCTGCGTCTCAGGCAAGGCATCCATAGCAGCCTTTGCAGATGGTCGCAGTGCTGCTTGCCCGGCTTAGCTTTGAGTCTGAAAGCTCAGGATTGACGTTTCTGCTTCGAGACTCACGGACAGCTCAGGCTGCAGAACTGTCTGCATTGGACACACCGGGGCTGAAACTGGAAAGAGCAGAAGCTCCGCGCACAGATCCAGTGAGATCCTCTGCACGTGTCGGCTTGGTCCTGCGAGCCTTGGCGACATCGTCTGTGGCGTTCGCTTGAAGCCAACCAGCTAGGAGTGTCTGGCAATATGTCGCGCCCTCAGGAGAGGAAGCAACAGAAGACGCGAAAGGCCCCAAAACTCACATGCACGATGCCCAGTTTTGACTGGTGACGTCCACCTCTCTTTGCACCTACGAGATGTGTCAACTTCAGGCAAGGCCGCCCAGTGGAGTCCCGGCCTCGTCCCCCTTTATTCCGGTATCACAGGCAGCATGTGACTACATTGCCATGGGCCATGGGTACATTAATGGCATCACCATGCTAGCAACGGTGGCCTCCTTTGTTTTGCCTGAGCTTGGGGTCGACAGAGAGGTTCTGCGCCAGACCCTATCGATTCTCTACGGCGGCTGAGCGCCTGACAAAGTTCAGAAGCGGCTTCGTGGCGACGGCCCATCTGGCAGGACGGACCGTCTGAGCCTTGTCCCGTCGTCGTCTCTTTCGGATGGTCGGCGAGTTTCTGGTGTTCTGCCAGAGGCTGAGTTCGGACTTTTGAGTGGTGCTACCAGCATGCCTTTTTGCAGGCGGTGCAGGAGCCGACAAGCTGGGTCTATCTGACCAGAACTTCTCCAAGTACCTGCATCCTGACTCCATTGGTCCCGCTGGAGCGTCCATTTTTTCAGACCTCGCACTCCGGTCCGCCCTCTTCGAAGGAAAGCCGCGGATGACGGCAAGTCCCAGGATCCTTCGAGCTGGGTGAACCGGAAGATCTCCACTCAGCCCCTCGCCCTTTTTTGCATTTTTTTTTGGTGTAATTTTTTGCATTTTTTTGCCCCTTCGAAGCGACCTTTGGGACAGGCCGGAGCTCTGCGAGTTCGTCGGGGCCTGCCATGGTGTGCTGGCCTCCTTGCCATAGTGCCGCTTGGGCACTCGGGCACTCGGGCAGGTGTGCATAGAGTGCCGCTTGGGCACGGTTGCACGGCCTTCTCCTCTCAGATTTGGCAGGGGCTGGGTTTGCCAGCTGTGCCCTCTGCCAAAGTGCAGCTATCGATTGGCAAAACAGGTTGCTTTTGGGGCGAAGACTCTTGCGATTCTCCACAAGAGCAAGCCCATGCAGCCAGACCTACTGGTTTTCCGGGAAGACTGAGTGTCGGAAGCGCATGAGCCGGAGAGGACCTGCTGCCGTCGGGCATGTACGTCCTCCCCTGCTTTGACTCGGTGCTGACCTGGTGGCCCTTTTGGCTTTGTAAGACCTTCCCGAAGCCGAAAAACTCTGCAGCCGAGAGAGGCAGGGCGCTCTCTTCATTAAGCAGGGCCTCTACAAGGGGGCAGTCTTCAAGCCTTGGGCCCGGTAACTTCTCCGCGTGGCGCAATCTCGAGAAGTGACCACATGGTTCTGTCGCTTATCGACTTAGATTTCGATTCGACGGCCCGGTGGCGCTCGGTGTGGCAGCACGCCAAGGTTCCGCCTGGTCCTTCCGGAGGAGTATCCCGACCAGGGCCCAGGCAGCACTCCCAGTCTGTGGGCTGCAGCTTTCCTTTCGATTCATCTGGGGTCTCTAGTGTTGTAAGGGTGGGTAAAGTGCCTGCCTAGATCTCTTCTTCACCTCGGACGTCTTCCATCCGATGGCCCGTTCCCGAGCTGTGTGGTTTCAGGCAAGCGCATGCTTCGCTGACAGCTGGCTACTCCGGAACAGCTTTCCTGACCGCGAACAGGGATGCCAATGATACGATAGTCACTGTAGTCACTTGCAGTCATCGTCAACACGACGAGCAAGAACAACATGAACCAGTAAGAGGAGTCATACTAGTAATACGGAAAATCGAAGTTGCATGAGCCATGGTGACGACGGAGGCAAAGTCATTCAATACCAAAGCGGCTGATATGGTGAGTTACAGTGGCAGAACAGCAACACTGATTACGACTATGATAGATAGTTGTATTAGCAACAACGACTCCAAGAATAGTGTCAACAGGCACAACATGAATGCAACAGAGAAGCGACAGCAATAATAGTTGCGGAGCGAACTCAGGAGCGATGCTACACACAGCATAGTCATCGGAGGAAGTCGTCATCGTCGTCGTTGTCAGGGTTGTGGTACACTGGTGCAGGTAGTCGTCGCGGTAGCGGTTTCGGCAGTAGTGGTGACGGTGTTCGCAGCACAGTGGCGATGGCCGGTGACCGGGTTGTGGCGTGACAGTGCTAGTATGTGTCTACATCATCGCACTGGCAGAACTGTTTGTGGTAACAGTGGAACAGTGGTCGTCGTAATGTACTTGTCATGCTGGCAAAGGTGATTGTCGATGCTACAAAGCAGGAAAAGTGTTGTGGATAATAATGAGCCTATTCACATTCTCAGTGTGTAGTGCTCATTGAGTACTGAGTAGTTTGGGAGATATTGAAAAACACTGGCCATTGCAGCAATTCAGGAATGTAGGAGCGCTGCAATCACCGACAGACTCTGCTGAAGGTCGACCCCAAGACCGGGCAGGTGGAGCTCGGATCGTTGTTCCCGGAGTGGTCGGTCGGCCATGCTTGGAGGGAACTAGCCGGATCTTCTGATCTTGACTTCGTTGTGACTGTGTCGTTGATCCAGCGGTTATCTGTTCTGTTATTACGCTGCAGAAGTTGTTGATCTCGGCTGGTGATGGTGGTGAAGGTATAGTAGTGCCGCGATGAGGCAAGTGTGTGATGGCATGCCGTGCCTTCGCCAGGCGCCCCGGACGAGACTTCGCTGCTTTCGCACTGCCGGGCCCTTGCCATCATCCGGGCTTCGCCGCCATTGTTTCGACAGCTGAAATGTGGCGTTTGAGAGCCAGGCCTCATCTTCACAGGGCCTTCCTGCGCAGGGAGTGCCCTTTTGAACCCAAGCCGTCGGACTCTTCAACTGGTGGGCCAGAGGTACTTTTCCAGCAATGCGCGGCCGGCACTGAATCAGGAGGCCTTGGTGTGGGCCAGCCTTGACACAACGCCACTGGTGGTGGCTTGGTCCGGTGCACAGCAAGATGTCGGGTCGAATCAGGCCAAGCAGCTTTTCATCTCCGACCCTGCCCAGTTCGCTGAGCGCGCTGGGGCCTCGCTCCCCTGTTCTCGTCGACGTCACCCAAGAGCGCGGCAAAGCATTCTCCTCCCATTGCCGGCACCGATGTGCTGGAGGCCAAAGCTTGTGCAAACAAGAGCCTGTCCGGCGCTCAGAAGGTAACAGACAGCGTTGGTTGGCCGTGTTGAGAGCTGCGAGCAGGCTGCACGTCTACGACAACGCCTCCGGGCTCTCTCCTCAGCTTCCTGGAGGTGCCTGAAGGGTCTCGTCTTGGACCTCTCTTGCCCGAGGTCTTCCTTGCAGTTTACCAAGGGCCCCGCTGAGGCAGAGATACTCCCAGAAGCGCATGTTTCGTATGTCTGTGCGCTTGTGTGAGGCTCACGATGCTATCCTGGAACACCTCAAAGCTGACCCATCTGCTTCGATCGAGGTGCCTGCATGGTAGGTCTCTATAGGTGTGCAGCGAAGTCGGGTACTCGTGGATACAGGAGCGGAAGACGGCTTTCGTCGATTGGTCAGGGCCCGAGTGAAACTGGGCGATTGGACGGTAGCTTCTCAAGCCAAAGAGCCTCCAGAGGTTCTGTGACCATTACGCTCACAAGCGCACCAGGGTTGGTGTGGCGCAAGGAGACGCAGAGGCTGCGGCTAGGGTTGGTTAGGGCGGCCTGTTTCAACTATGCAACATGAGTCATGGGAGTCATTTGACTTGCAACCCAACATGCGATGCTGTAACACACCATGCACGTTTTGGTCAGGCCGAGACAATCTTGCTGGATGTTGAGGCCTCAGAGCTGGCTTTTTGGGGAGTTGGTGCTGAGGTTCTATTGTTCGTGGACGCGTTGCTGCAGCAAAGATTCTCAAGACATGTAGGAGTGGTTCGTGTGCGAAGTGATTGGCTGGAGACCCCAACCTCTAAACCCTGAGCCAAAAACTTTAAATCCTGAGCATAAAACCCCAAAGTTGCCAAAGTTCCCATCCTAGACCTGAATCACCGTTTCCGCTTCAGGCGAAAGGCGGCCGCGTGGAAGGCGTCTGATCCTGAGCCCCGTTCGGAAATCTTTGCGTGCCAAGTACTTCGAGGAATTCTGTTGATTTTGATATTTCTACTCGACGGCATGTGTCGTTCTCCAAGGCTGGCTACCCCAAAGCCGGGACAAGTGCATCTTCATCAGCCAAGTTGGCTCCGAACGATCGCGATCAAGAGGCCTCTACTTTGTCTTCACCTTCTGCAGTTTCGCACAATGTTTCCGATGGTCTCTCTTTGCTTTCAGGAGTTTTTCTAGATGGCGATGGTCCGTGTACAAAGCGTTTCACCTTGACGCCATGAGCGCCGATTTTAAAGAGGCTAGGGCAGTCCGCACCATGAAGCCCCACGGTACCCTGCCACTGAGAACCTGTTCCCAAGTCTTGTCAATCTGATTCCGCGCCAGGCTCAAAGCGTCTCAAAGCCTTTCATGATTTCGTCAGCAGCAAAAGCGAGAAAGCAGAAGCAAGGGAACCAACGATCAGCCTAGAGACATGAAGCAATGTCTAAACTTTTCTCGGCCCTGAAGCAGCGTGTTTTGCTCACCAGAACTCAGGATGCAAGGTTGGGTGCGATGGAGGCCAACGAACGCTTCTTCGACCCCCTCGAGGACGAGGACGAGTCACTGGAATCCCGCGAATCCCTTTGGGAAGAGGCGGCCTGAATATCAAAACTCGAGTCGAAGAATCTTTGAGAGCTCCCTGTCTTCAGGACTCCCCGGATCTCCTGAGGAATGGACTCTTTGGCCGAGCATTGGAGAAGTTGCCTATCCTGAACAATATCATGCAGGCTCTGCACACCCGGGCCGGCGACGAGGACCGGAGTGAAGGAACGACTTCAATAATGGTTTTAAAGACGTAACTCGCGCGGGCATCGAGGGCTTCCTTGGATCGTTCCAAATACCATCAAAGACCCCCTTGCACTAAAACAAGAGCTAGACATGATCATGCGACATACCAGGAAAGGACAGTAGATCAAGGCGGCAGCATAGTCTTCGGGCACCGACCACAGAGGCTGAGAGCTCTGAGCACGTGGCTAGACGTCGGAGCTTGTCTTGGCCCTCCCTTACGCCGTCTCCGGCCCATCTCTCTTTGTGATCATTTGTGTACTAGTGCACTAAGCCTGCTGATACACTGATGATCCTGAGACTAGTGGGTGGAGGAATCCCTTCTTCGGGCCCGCGCGTCGAACCCTTTGCGGGCCTCGGGGCGGCTGGCACGGGGCGCGGAGCACGTGCCGCTGCTCAACAATGCCGCTGGCTCGAGTTTGCGTGCTGTGGAGGGGATCGCGATCCCTTTTGTGTCTTGTTCTGAGTTCTGGGCATGGGACTCTTCGGCTCGTCTGAGGTCATGCAGACGCTGCACCGGGCCACGGGGAGGTCCGAGGAGTTCCGGAGGGCTCGCCGGAAGAACCCCCTGGGTGCGAACGGTTACATCACGAAGTTCGGGGAGCACATCCCCGGCCTGGCGGACACGATCTGTTGCATTCACAAGTTCCGGGGCTTGGACGCCGAGGCAGAGCGGGCCCGGGCTTTTTCGCTCCACCGGATGGTGGGCCGGAAGGGGGCGATCACTCAGCTGGCCCAGCTGCTGCCTGGCTGAACCCCTTCGCACTTTTGGGCACTGAGGGGTTGTCAAGTCCTGTCCTGCGTGCTTGCTGTACTTGAGAGTGGCGTCGTTTCCTCTTGACGACCATAATCGCCATCACACTTGAGCTCGAACTGTCACTGCCGTGGCCTGGAGTGCTCTCATTGTAGATACACTGAAAAATGATCCGCGCATGTCGATGTACTGCAGCTGGTGGCTGGAACGGAGGCCGGAAACACTGGATGAAAGAACGATCTTCTGAGATGAAACTACGTATAGAAAGTATTGTAGAATGTCGAGTGCGCATCAGCAATATCAATGCGGGATGATCTTGAACTGCTGTCTTTGTTGACGAAGCACAACGCATCTTGTCCAAATCTCCGCACCGCAGCAGAACCGGAAGTTGAAGGACTTGCAAAGGTTGCACACTGTTGCGCTTGGTTCGTTGCAGTACTTTGAAGCAGAAGCTCCACTTACCGAGGCTGCCTGGCACGAACCTGATCGCAGCTCTCCTGGCAGAGGCAAAAGGTGACCACCGAGAGGCGGTGAAGGCGCTGAACTTGCTAAAGAGATGGCGGGATGTGGCCAGTGCAGACGGAGCTCTCGCAAGAGTTGCCGAACTTCTCCCAGGGGTGGACATCATTTCCTTTGGTCTCATGGTGAACCACGGTCACTATGCCCATGCAGTCCGAGCCATCTGTAAGACCCGGTGGGTGGAGATCACAGCAACCTCCTCGGCTTTGGCGCTCTCTGCTGGAGCCATGGAAGACTGGGTCATTGTATCTGTAGATTCCGACATGCTGATGCAGCCTAGAGCCGCCTCTTTGGCGGGAGGGTTGTTGGACGTGTGCCTCGCCGAAACCAGAACTCCCTAACGCTCCCTCCCATTGCGATGAAGTTCGCTCAAGGTGCACCTGGAGCCAGGCCCTGAAACCTTAGCAGCCCCCCCTCCCCCCCGAGGTGCATCCACTTGTTGGACTTCGATGCTTTCGGCAACCAGCGCTGGGTGACCCGAGGCCTCGAGGAGGAGCTGCCCTCCGCCTGCACCCGAAAGAAGCGCCGCGGCCTTCGGCGCGCGTTTGAAGACGTGAAGATCACAAAGGCCAACGAGGCCCTGCATGGAGTGCTGGACTATCTCTTCCTGTCGTCCCCCTTTGTGGTGAAATATATGACTGACCTCACGAACTGGGCAGTGGACGAGTGGTATCACTCCTCTGCGGCCTGCCGTATGTTTTATATTCTTTGTCCTCCGATGGTCTCCCAGAGCCTTCCCAGCACAGTTCCGAGTGCCCGCTTTGCAAGGGCGATACAGGATTCCTTGCCAGGAGTTCGAGCGACTCATGGACAGATGCCTCTGAACCCGTGCAACTTTCAGCTGCCTTTGCGAACCTCGGAGCCCGACGGGCCAAGCTGGAAGAACAACTTCTGTGAAGCTGCGACTGGGATACTCGCGGGTATGTCTTGCCTTTCTTTTTCCTGCCTCGCGGCCGGCGTGCACAGTATCCTGCCGCTCGCCTGTTTCACCGGCTGCTTCGCTGGGGTTGGTGCCGGTCTCGGGGGCTATGTGCGGAAGAGAGTTCGGAGCAACATCGTGGCCTGGTTCAACAAGATGAACACAGATGCCTGGCAGCGGACCTCTCTCCCTGTGGTTCCCCTCCGGACTCAGGTCCAAGAGTGCCAGCAAGCACCCCAGGATCCGGAGTCTCCGGATCCGCCCCCGCCTCCCTCTGTACAGTTCCTGGCCGAGTCGCCCGAGCCTAGAGCACCTTCGGATCCTTTCGAGCCGCAAGGGATCATCTTTGAGTGGCCCAGTAACCTGCTTGAAGAAGTCCGCGCGGCAGAGATCTTCCGAGACTACATCCTCTCCGAGTGGATGACTCCCAGCCGCCCCCTGAATTGGCTGCACCCCCTGCCTTGGATCCTCCACCTCCTCGAGCTGCCGCTGCGAGGCCCCGGTTTAAGGTCTAGGGGTTTATGGATTAGGGTTTAGGGTTTGGGGTTCATGGATTAGGGTTTATGGATTAGGGTTTAGTGTTTGGGGTTCATGGATTAGGGTTTAGGGTTTGGGGTTCATGGATTAGGGTTCATGGATTAGGGTTTAGGGTTTGGTTTCATGGATTAGGGTTTATGGATTAGGGTTTAGGGTTTAGGGTTTAGGGTTTAGGGTTTAGGGGTTTAGGGTTTGGGGTTCATGGATTAGGGTTTATGGATTAGGGTTTATGGTTTAGGGTTTATGGATTAGGGTTTAGGGTTTGGGGTTCATGGATTAGGGTTTATGGATTAGGGTTTATGGATTAGGGTTTAGGGTTTGGGGTTCATGGATCAGGGTTTATGGATTAGGGTTTATGGATTAGGGTTTAGGGTTTGGGTTCATGGATTAGGGTTTGGGGTTCATGGATCAGGGTTTGTGGTTTATGGAATACTGTTTATGGTTTAGGGTTTGGGGTTTATGGAGTAGCGTTTATGGAATACTGTTTATGGTTTAGGGTTTATGGATTAGGGTTTAGGGTTTGGGGTTCATGGATTAGGGTTTAGGGTCTGGGGTTCATGGATTAGGGTTTAGGGTTTGGGGTTCATGAATTGGGGTTTAGGGTTTGGGGTTCATGGATCAGGGTTTATGGGTTAGGGTTTATGGATTAGGGTTTAGGGTTTGGGGTTCATGGATTAGGGTTTAGGGTTTGGGTTCATGGATTAGGGTTTAGGGTTTGGGGTTCATGGATTAGGGTTTAGGGTTTGGGGTTCATGGATCAGGGTTTATGGGTTAGGGTTTATGGATTAGGGTTTAGTGTTTGGGGTTCATGGATTAGGGTTTAGGGTTTGGGGTTCATGGATCAGGGTTTAGGGTTTGGGGCTCATGGATCAGGGTTTATGGGTTAGGGTTTATGGATTAGGGTTTAGGGTTTGGGGTTCATGGATTAGGGTTTATGGTTTAGGGTTTGGGGTTCATGGATCAGGGTTTATGGGTTAGGGTTTATGGATTATAGAAATTGTATAGGGTTTGGGTCCGGAGTTTTGCAGGGTTTTGCCGGGTTTTGCTGTGTTTCGTTTTTGCTTTGGCGTTTTGATTTTGGGAATTGGCTGGGCTGGCGACCGGCTAGGGCTTGGGCTGGGGGCCGGTTCACCTGAACCCTTGCTGCTGTTGCTCTTGAAGGAGGCTGGCCTAAGCCCTGTAGCTCACGTCGACAGCTATAGTTTCCGTTGACCCACCAATGTCAGGTTCAACGACGCAGAAGGCGTGCCAAGGTGCAATGCCTCACTTTGGAAGCTACGAATATGCACCAAGTAAGAACAGCCAGGTGAAGTTCCGTCGAGCTGCGAGGACCTAACAAACCCGAGCAGTGACTAGTCTGTGCTGGTAGCCGGTGTGATGATTGTGATGTGAGGCAAACAAGTGGAGCGTGCTTCGGGCCATGCACTTAGCATGATTTCGATTACAGTTCAGTTTCTGTTTGTTGTGAGCTTCAGGGAACATATCCCGACGTCGCACTGCCTGCCTCGGTTGGGTACTCAGAATGCGGGTTTAATTCACAAAATTACACAGGATTATGACTCGGTGGAGAGAAGATGAGCAACGCCACTTCAAAACAATCGACCAAAAGGTGAAGAAAAGGTAATCCAAAACAGTAAAGGCAAAAAAAGGGTGAACGGTATAAATAGGAAAGGGGCGGAAAGG